CTTTTATATATCGGAGTCGGGTTAAGTAGCAATCTTCGAATCCAAGCGGCTCGTTTAAACGTCTCGAGATGCGAAGAGGCGCGGGAGTCAGATAAAACGGTTAACCAGCAACGAGAAAGAAAGCCGGCGAGAAATGGTCATATGCAATTATATAAAGAGAGTAATTGTAGTATATAATTGTAGTAAACAAATTAGATATAATTATATGTGACTCATATGCGAATTTTGCTTTTATATGGCCATATAAATAATTGTGTATAGTTGTACATGTCCACACGGATGACAAATGTTGTTCAATGCAGAGAGGGGGGAAAATAGTCTCTCAATTAAATATCGACGTTACGGTTTGTGACGTTCGAAAATATCACAAAACTATATAGATGAAACAAATTGAACTCAACATTTTATTTTAACACTAAACTGTTGAGATAACGTGTACTTGAAGGTAATGCTTATTTTTCTGTAACATATGTGAACGAAAATAAGAATTTACTCTAATTCTATTTGTGGAACAGTATTCTTCTCGATTTGGAAAATATTTGAGAAATGTTACCAAATAATATGATCGTCTCGAATAGAAAAATATCCCTGTGCCGAAGTTACGTTTGCAATAGTGTCGACGCAACGTTAAAAATATTAGGAAATATTTTATTATATATGATATTTAATATATATCGCTGTGAAATAACCTTCTGTCCACGATGTTTCGTTTACTGAATAATTATGTGTGATTATATATATAGCCATATGAACACAAAATTTATACACACAATCACACTTCCCCGGGAAGTGCTGTCGTACTCGCGGCACTCGCAAGGTCCACGATATCATCGTACATTAATGATAAAATTTTTCACACTTTTAACATTTTGCTTATTGCATTCACCGTGATGGCAGTCGCGACGGCATCGGCAGCGAGCAAGCGAGTGACCGAACGATCGAAGAATGTGCTAACCACACACAGTGAATCTCTCTATTTCTTTTGAATTTCGACGCGAATCTTTTATCGCGCCTCATCGTTGCGCAGATCCTGAAGTGAAGTTACCTGTCCTGTTCGAGTGAGAATGTTGCAACGCGCTCGTCGCGGTGCTCTCCAGGCCGCAAGTGCATAATAAATCTCGTCAACTATAAATAACTATATGTGTGTAACACGCGTGTAACACGACGGTCCTACGGTACTATGATATCCTGCTTGCTATTTGTCTCGAATAAAAAATCGTGGGATGGATTACGGATGGGAGAAATAATTCTGTCCCTCAGGAGCCAACGTGTTGTTGAATCGACACGATCGCTCAGCGACGCAATAATTGGAGTGAATCTTTTTGATTCGATAGTAATGCTGAAATTGAAACTAATGCTCGAGTTATCGAGTAATGTATGATTATTGGTATTAATAATATCACTGTACAGAAAAAAATATCGTTATACTGCCGTGAATTACTAAATTTATCATTCTTTTTTAAGGAAAGTTTATCTTCGGCAAGGACACTTTCTTGATAACAGTCTTAAAATGTACTCATCAGAAACTGTAGAAAAGCTCATCATCATACGGTCAAAAGATGAATTTATTCTTTTTTTTTTAAATATTATAAAACGTATGCTCTATGTAGATAAAGCAAATTGAAGTTTTGTTTTGATTCAACATTGTTAGTTTTTAGAATAAACTAAACTGTTGGGACAGCAAGTAGTTGTTCGAACGTTATACGTACTTTTCTGTCTATCGAATCAGTAGGATTTACTCTAATTACGGCGCTGTTGATAAACTCTATTGATTCAACAGCATTTTTCCCCTATATTATTCACAAAAGGAAGAGAGAAGAAGAAAAAGAAAACACATTTCTTTCTAATGCCTCGACTACGTTTCCTTGGCCTTTCGCGAGTCTTTTCGCGAAGCGCAGAAACGGTACCTCAAACTTGCAAATTGCTAGACAAAATATTTACAGCGACCCCTTTATATATCCTACCATTCATATATTTACACTCTCTCTAAATCCAAGTGCGTTATTTTGACTGAAGCTCTTTTTACATGTTTCTTGCCACTTTAAATCGTGTCATTCAACACGTTTAACCTTCTTAACCGTGTCTTGCTCTTTCTCGACCCGAGCGTTTTAAAAAAAAGAATTCTAAACACTCTCTTGCGTGTTACAACAAATATGTTACACATTAAAACTTATCAAAATGTTAAAATAAAAACGACCTCATCTTTACGTTGACGATACTTCAATATCGCGAGAATTTTTTCGAAATGGTCAGGTCGAAAAAGTCCCGAATTCAAACGTTCAAATTAAATTATATGGTTCAAAGTAGTACGAAACGTGTGAAGAGAACTTTAATCAAATTACACGCTCATGCGTGTAAAAATAGCGTACTCGAATTCGCAGCGTTCCTACGGCCGACGTGTGTCGATTTTAGCGCAACGTTCCGCTCGATATGTCCGAAGAAACGTCCCTTTCGGATGCACACGTGTACATGCCATCTTTCTCCTCGAGAATGTTGAAAACTTTTCTCTCTATTCTTTTTTTTCTCCCACCCATCTACGTCGTTAATTACGATTTCGGGTTTGAGCGCTCGCGTAATGCCGATAAGTAACAGCGTACGAGCAATTTCCTTTTCTTCCCTTTTTTCTTTTTTTTTGCGATAACAAGCTCAATCACGCAGTAAAAATGTGAATATGCGCGTGAGTCTTCGTTTCAAGTAGAATTAACTAGATTAATTAGAACATCGACAAGTAGCGCGTTCGACGACTGCAACTAATTCGAACTTGTGCAGCTTTCACGTCAAGCTTGCGTCGAGCCTCGATATTTGTTTCTATCAGATCGAAAATGCATTCTATTCTTCCTCAAGAATAATCTAATTAAATTATGTACAATTCGCACAGTTAGACACAACGAAAGTCCACGCACGTTTTTCGCAGGTGTTCGTACACTAAAATCCATATATGCCTGGCTGTCCCTTAGGTTAATATTGGATTGTTGCCAAAATGTCTCGACCAGACGCATCCGTATCTATACATGCGTTCGTCATGACTATTGATTAAATGAGGAAGCGGCCACGATATTTCAAGGTAGCTGTGAAACATTGACACAGCTTGACGTTTCCTTTGGACGTCATTAGGGAAAGTCATCTGCTCACATATTACACACAATTAATAAAAAAATAATACAACTTAGTGAAAAAATGTAGAAAGTCAAATATTGTCGTATGAACAGTAGATGCCTGGGTGGCCTTATACGAAGAAGAAGAAGAAAAAGAAGAATAAGGATGTTAAGAAAAGTAAATAAAAAGTAAATGTATGTAAAAATTAATACAAATAATTAGAAAGTATATTCACGGAGGGGGGGGGGTGTATATATATATATAAGCTTTGTAATTATTATATAATAAATTACATAAACTGATTTTGACGTGAATCATGTTATTTTATATATGATACTAGTGAAACATCAAGCTGTCAAAATGTCGCAGCCTTTAATCGTCGCACATCTTAAGAAATATTGTTGCCGCTTTTTCGATTAAGCAACAGTCATGACGAACACCTACTTAGAAACAAATAGTCGAAAGTTTTCAGCAACTCTCGATTTAAGGAACGATGAAGGGCGAATGTGGATTTTAACGCACGTCCAACTGCGACGCCAAGCGCGCGTGTCGTTAACTATTTTCATCATTTCGCGGTAATCAATCGGCATCGCTGTGTAATGCATCGCACTTTTCTCGCGCGCGTGTCTCTCCAATCGGTTGTCGAAGTATCCCCGGTCCCCGACATTACGCGTGAGAAAATTCATTATATTATTGTCATTGAAAATTATCGGCATCTCTCACGTTCCATGACTTCCTTAACACATTTCTCGTCTCCGAATCCAATTCTCCGTACAAGGGATACGCCCTAGGATGTAAATTACAGAATATTGCTTACGACAGATTATCTCATAATAATATTCTATGCTCCTTTTTTTTGTTGTCGACGCTTGTTTATCCCGTACTTCTGTGTAACTAGAACTAATAATTTTCGTTACACAACAACACGATTCTCTTGGACCCATAACGAGCAATCCAAAAAAGGGAGGAAACGTGACACTTTGCACACACTTTATTTCCCCCGTGTTTTAGTTAATTTTATCAAAGCGCGCAATGAGAGAGAGATGCAAAATAGTTCATATTTTAATTTCTTAGAGATTAATTTACAAAATCACAGATCGGTCGTGAAATCGCTCAATTCTTGATCAACCCTTGTAAAAATTGAGACGTAAATGGAGAAGAGAAGCAAGTGAAAAGCAATTCAAAAGTGGCGAAAAATTAACCCTTGGTCATAAAAATATTGAGAATTCATAGTCGCGTGAATATCAATTTCTACACGAGCTCGTTTTCAATTTAATCGCTCTGCAGGATGTTGACGAGAACTGTGAACTATCCCGAATGCGAATTTGATTTATCGCGGAAACTCGACATATACGCGAACTCACGATACCATTCGGGAACAGTCGATTATAGAAGCTTGTTCGCTAACGACTGAACGGAATATTTTCAGCACTTAGCAAGAGACAGATGCACGAAACGTTATTGTCTGGAAAGTAAAGTTCTACGATGTATACACATGCGAGTCCTTTATTTTTATTTTAATCGTCCGTTAATCTACGTTTAAATTCGTGTGCAGTGTGTGCAACTCTCTTTTAAAAGCTATATATATTCGTATTAAATTCAATCGTTTACGTCCGTTCATAGACGTATGTAAGATCGTAAAACAAACGAGCGTCTTCTAAGGAAGCGTAAATTTCCTTGTTAATAACAATATCGAACGTTGCGCCGCGCGAACAATTAAACGTTCCATTACGGTAACATCACGGTAACAGTAACAGATTGTAATGTCTACAACGACATTATCAATACAGACAGACAATAGTTAAGCTGTGTCGCAGTCGGACAATATGGTCGCCCTGCAAAGAAGACGAACACCCGTGTGTCCACATCTCCGAGATAATCCGCGAATTCTGGAACTACTGTCCGATGTTGTCAACTGTTCGACTCGGCAGCATCCCCAGGAGTCTCTCGACTCGGGATTTCGTCGGTTCCTTCGAGAAGAGGACGATATGTCGCCGCGTGAATGACGAGATGTCGCGTAACGATATACAATGACAATGAAGATGGATCTGAGAGTGACGCGCAGACGGGAAGATTGGTCGTCTCAGTGGCTGTTGCTGTCGAATTAGCTGCCACTTCCGTTTGGCTGGCATACGCCATTGCTGCTGACTCTTTCGCCCTTTCGTTACTCTCTGAAGACGAGTCAGTCCGTCTCTCCGTGCGCGCAAGATAACTTCGTGATAACGAAGACATCGATGTTTGAGTCACGACCGAGACGCGAAATCGCTAGGTAATTGGATATATATATTTCCCTCTCCATTTCTCTTCTTCTTCCTTTCTCTTCAGTGTCCTTCATGATCCTGTGATTTGAATCCGCACATCGTGGGCGCCTTCGTTTCTGCAAAAATGTTTCTCGTTGGCTAGGTAACTAACGAACGTCTGTTTCTTAGCAACTAGCATTTTCAGCATATACGAGATCTGATCTTTAATCTTAAGCGTCAATTTGTTAAAAAAGAAATAATTATGCCACAAGTAATTTCAGTGAAAGAGGCGAGACTGATGTTGCAATTAAAAATGTCATTATCATACATCATCACACTCATGTGGCTTTTACTTCAGGGCAGCGATCACGTAATTTCTCCTTGGAGCAAAAACTTGAAGAGTGAAAATTTTCACGTGAATCTTTTTTGATGATTTGACATGCAACTTTTTGGATCGTGGAGATGTGTGAAACTTCTCACTTGAATTTTCTGCGCCTTGGAAACTCATGAAAAAATTTCATGCAAGTCTAGATATGTTTTAGCGTTGGTATCATTTGCAAATTTTTTAAATTAATGATTCCAAATTTTTAGATTATTTGCAACATAATAGAAGAATTCTGTGTTCAATTTGACCTAATCTATATATACACGAGCGTTTTCGTGGCTTGTGTCAGACGCATTTTGCGCGCCTTTTGAAAAAACGAGCAATACGGCTTTTCAATCTGAGACAGTAATTAATCAATCGCGTTTCACTTTCCACATATCTCCAGCTATGTAATCGCTCTCTGTGACTCGTGAAAAAAGTTTACTAGAGCTCGGTAGACTCAGAATGGGCAGAAAGTATGGAATGAAGAATCTCGCTCCAAGTTACACAATCGCTGCCCAGTGAGATATTTAAGAACCACCGCTTTAATTTCCTCCACGGTCTTCGACGTATTAACTAGCTCATTAAGCGTCAGTGAATGAGATGTTTCAACTTTGATATTATCTATCATAACACAGTTAGTTAAAGTCAAGCTCGTGTAATACTACGGAATAATTGATCGGTAACTTACCAATAGGTTTTCTAACTTCACTTTACTCGGCCCTGAAAAAGTCCTCTATGTTCTTGCACATATCAGTGTCGTCCTCATTCTTAATTGTACAAGAGTTGATAGCATCTATAATATAAGACATAGTTTTGGAACAAACTTCTTCATCGTCGGGACTCTCTTTAATGGTATTCACGTATCCACTGGATATATCGTTCCTATTTTTCGTTAATGGCGCCATGATGTTTATCTCTTTCGCAAGAGAGTCGACATACTGAAAAATATCGATATTAGTAACTACGTTTCGTTGTTACGTAAACGGACAGATACTGCCTGTTAAACTTTCTGATTTACTTTGTGATTAAGTAATTTTCTATGTTCCATTAGTTCCATATTTATTCCCGGCGACTTCCTTTGTCTTGTCCGTTTCGTTCGTCTCACTCGTTTCGCTCGTCTCCCCTGTCTCCTCTTCCACTCGACATGTAGTTTCCTTCTTCTCGTAAGTTCCACATTTCTTTCGATTGTTATATAGTTCAATATAGTCTCGAATAATTTCTTAAACGGGACCACGTGGTACATCGCGCTGTAAGCCAGCGATATCAGAGTAATTACAAATTCTTGTCCAATATCAAAAGTTTATCAGTGCAAAGAAACCGTTATACATTAGGAAATCATATACAATAGGAAATCATGCGCTCCGTTTGTGTATATGTTTACTTCTTTCCCTCTCATTTTATCTCAAGCGGTACAAAAATGTATGCACTATATATATCGCATTTCCAATGTAGGAAGGTGGCAAATTTCAAAGATGGAAAGGATACATTTGAGAATTAACTTGAGAGACTCACCTTACTAGGACTATTCGTTTGGAAATAATAGAAATAGCAGACGTGGCATGCAACAGGGTTTCATTGGAAGCCGAGCAAACTAAGCAACTTCGTTTTTCATTAGAGGGAATATTTGAAAATTTCGTCGAGGATAAGTTCTGTTGAAAAAAAGAAAGAAAAAGTAGAACACTGTAGGATGCACCGCTCAATTCAGCAATGAATTATAAATCGAAAAAGAACTTGTTACATGCACATCTTATCGCGAATCGAGAGTCATTGGCGTCGTTAAAATCGTCATTAAAAATTTAACAACACGATTCTAAGGCGTGCAATATTAAGATTGCTTTTAAACTCACTTCTTTGTGCAAATTGCAGCTTTCGTTTTTCTCTATGATTTCTCGTTGCACTCGATGTATCTTTTTGAGATATGCGTGAAATCTCTGCTGTTTGGAAAGCCACTCATCCTTATTTAGACTGCTTTGCCTTTTCAACATGATATCCTTGTTTATTTTTATTTGATCCCACAACACCTTGTGGATGTTATCGGAAAGTTTGAGCTTCTTCAGTATCTCCTCGTACACCTTGCACTCCATCTCCAAATTTTTATTTTCGTTCTCCAACTTGAAATTTTCACTTCGCAGATTTTGCATCTCATTCTTCTTATCTTGCAACTTTCTCTCTTTGAACTCATTCGTACCCTTAGCACCCTCATAAATTTCTGCCTTTCTTCTCTCCCCCTTTTTCGTCTCGATTCGCTCTTTGTGAGTTTCATCATTTTTGGAGTGTTGTACTTCCTTTTTATCATTTAACTCGTTCCCATCACCAGACTGCTTTGTATTGCTTTCTTTCTCATCATTTACCAGTATTACGTTACTCAATGTATAACCCTCTATGTATTTTTCTATTGAATCTGTCGAAAGTGTATTCGTGTCCTTCTCGGATAAGAGAAATCGAACGTTATAAGTATTTTCTATCGTTATATCCTGGGCTAGATTGCTCACAGCGGATATTTTTTCGTTACACTTGCGCATGCTTTCGCGTAAGGACATTATTATGTCTTCAGTGTATCGTTCTTCTGGCTTCTCGGTAAGTTGGGCATATTGTTGTTCTAATTCTGCGACCCGACATTTCTTTTCACTCAACTTCTTCGCATCCGGGCTCGTGGTACAAAGTTCAATGAAAATCTCTTTAAACATTGCTATCTGTTCATGTAGACATGAAAGATGCTGCTCACTGGCCTTTTCGTTATAATTATTATACGCAACGAGAAGCTGGTGTCTCACTGTTATTATATAATCGTAAACATTATTTGATAGTACTTCCAACAATTCCATCATTAACTCCTCGACATTCGTGTCGTTAATGCGGACGAGTGTCTCCTTAACAGCAGACAGTTTTTTAATCTTTTCATGTTGCATCATGATTAGCAATTTTCCATATTGACCAGAATAGCTATTGTACATGTTATGCAGGAAGTCATTTATTTCTTTCAATTTTGTTTCATACACCAACTTAGCTTCTTTCTCCTGAGCCTCATTCGTCTGAGTCCCGAGTCGTTCGTTGCCTTTACTCGTGTCGTTCTTCAATATTTTGGAGGGTTCCGCGCAGTCTTTTGCGTTTTTATCCTGAAGATCTTTCAAGTATTCTATTTCATTTTCTAGCTCCATTGCTTCTCGATATCCCGAGTGCAGAAACATTATCAGGATGATATCATCGGCCATCTCGGTGGATTGATTTTTTATAAATTCCCAATCGAATAATGCCGTTTTTAATCTATCAATGCGTTCATTAGTCATCTGCAGCTTCTTTATCCAAGCTGCGTCGTCCGCCAAGTTTAGGGTCCATAGAGATTTCTCGTGCGCTCTCGCTTTGTCCTTAAATAGTATTGTCAATTTCTCTGTGCTGGAGAGTTCCTCATGTTTTATTACCAGTTGCACATACATAGGATGAAACAGTTGATGCAAAAGGTCACAGTGCTGTTTCCAATGCTGACACACAAATGCTATATCTTTCACATTCGAGTTGGATATTTTGTTCAAGTTATTTGCAGACGCGTTTATATGGCTCTCTGTTATCATGTCGTTTATGTATTGGATCGAATCCTCCATTTTCGCACGTACCAACCGATTCAGCGATTTGACTTTAAATCCGCGACTCTTGAACTTGCACGATAAGAGCCGATGCTGCGCGATCCTAGGACCTTGGTGCGTTCCCTCTCGCGATTTCTCCACGACTTTTCACGCGTACGTTTCCTGCCGATTTATATCGCGTGGCTTTGTCTCCGATGCCTTCGGATTCGTCCTTGCGACGTCGGGATTAGCGTCCAGTACACGTGCCGAAGTGATATTGAAAATGTACGAAACCAGCTGATTGGCCAAATATATGGAATGGCGAGAACGAAAATAAATGTACAAGCACACAACAGATTAGACAAAGGCAAGTGAGTGTATATGTGTGTGTTTGCGTGTATATGATGGTATGTTTGTGGTGGACGTGTGTACAAGTTACGTAGCGGTGCGTCTTCAAGTGTCCGCGAGACGAATCGCGCTAATGCGGTGTTATCCGGTTTGTCCTGGATCGAAATTTGTCCATCAGACGATATCTCCCCGTGCCTTTCTCTCCTTCTCTCTTCGTGATGTGCCTTCGCCGTTTCCACTGTTTGATTTTTTTCTTTTTCCATGTGTTTCTTCCTACCTTAGCCTATTCCCTCTCTTTCCCTCTCGCTCTGTCCCTTTTTACACACTCTCACTCTCACACTCACACGTTAACTCTCGCTTTCTGTTTCCCTCTCTGTCTTGCCTCCTCTCTCACGTGTTAAACTCACATAGTTGTATTTATATTTAAGTGTGTGCATACATATATACATCTACATACGTATATTCTTTCGCGGTCGTGTAAGTAATAATATATGTATTTACAGTGGATGCGCGTGTGTATTCGTATCTTTTGTGTGTTACACATGTGTATAGGCGTATGTATACATATATATATATGTATGTATATATATACGCGTATATACACACACACACACATATACATATACACCTCGATCTTCCTGGCAATAATAATTATTTAACTTTTTTGTTGTCGCCGTTGTCGTCCTTTACCCCGTTAATATTTATACTTTATTCTTTTTATATTTATATCTCTGTATATTTATATTTATTTTCAATATTTATATTCTTCAATATATATATATATATAATATTAATAATAACAATTAATTATTATTAATATTATTAATTATTATGTTTATATATATATATATATACGTATATATATGTATATATATATGTATATATATGTACCAAGTTATTGTTATTATTGTTGTGATCTTCGCGCTATAATTATTATATATGTTAACAATGGTCGCAGCGTTACGTAAAATAATTATATGTCTTGACATAGATTTTGTCCATTGGCGGATCTGTAACGATCCTTTGTTTAAGTCCATCGCTTTTAACATGCGAATTGTACTAAAACGAATAGAGAAGGCGTCCCCAACGAAAATCGACTTTAGAACAAGCTTTTGAGGAATCCGGCGGGTCCCGCCTGCTCGTCGTTCAAAGGCACACAACGTTTTTTTTTTTTTTTTCATATCGTTGTTCGTTATGTTGTTAATATTGGAAAGTCGTATAGGTATACGCATAGAAAATCGGCACGGCAGCGCGCAGAGAGCATGTGTGAGTGTCGTGTATACGTATGCATCCCGGAGAGGCAGCGTGGAAAATTTCAGGAAACAAACAATTAGTAAATGAAATAAGACCATGTTAATCGGTGGATGACAGTCAAAGTACTTGCAAGATCTCGCATCTCTTTTCTCTTTTCTGTGCAATTTTATACGATAAGAGGAACGAAAATAGGAGCGCTTTTTTCTCCAAGCGTATTTCTCTTCCGCGGGTCTACTTTGAAAAGGAGAAGACACGCAAATACTTTCTTCACCCATTGTACAGTAAGAAATATATGCAGAGAGCATATAAATTTTTCTCCTCATTAACGTGTATGACGTAAGATTATTATCGTGAAACATACTGACCTCTTGCTGTGCAGTTGTAGCTTGTTTCAACTTGGCTTGTGCGGTTTTTAGTGCCCTGCGGTGAAGAAATAACGAGCATTAATTTTCAACCAAGGATAGTACTGTTCGAAGCGCTTCGCAACTTCGGTATAATTCGACGTTTAGAGTTTGAAACTTTGAACTTTTGAAATTTCGAACGTTCGAGACATCGAAGCTCCGAATAGAATAAAATGACTTTGGGGACTGCAGCAGGATTTTGTACAATTAGTATCGTTATTATCATACTTATTTCATTTACAATTTCCTTGTTCAAATATTGTGCCTCGAAGCCCCGAAGAAATTCGAAGCTTCGAAGGCTCGAAGCTTGACTTGAGACACATTTTATAATCTTATTTTCAACACTCGGGTCAACAAGAGAGATTGTTCCCTCCGGCAAAGTCATCAGCGAGAAAACATCTCGTCGCGGTAAACTCACTCCTGAAGATCTCTGATCTGTTTCTCCTTGGAGTTCTGCTCCTCCTGGGTCATCTGCACGAGCTTCAGCAACCTCTCGGTCTCGGCGGCGCTCCTGCCCGATTCTTCTTTCGCCTTCTCCAGCTCTTTCTCGGCAACATCGAGCGCCCTTTGCATCTCTGCCAGCCTCTTGTCGGGCGCTCCGCCACTCTGCGCGCGCACATTACAGACCATTAAATCGAGTTGGGGAATTCAATCAACGGGAACAATTCGTTCAAGAAACACATGCTAATTTTCAATAGCAATAAGTGCGTTCAGAAAGCACAACGGATGGATCTAAAATTGTGGTGAACTTTTACCGAACGCTGACACACCCGTTGTGCCTTCTGAACGCAGTCAATGTCGTCATCGTTGTATATTTTCTCTACCACACATAACTATATATAACTATATATTCTACCACATACCACATGTTATACCTTTTTTAATTAACAACTCAGAAGTTTACCTAATCTACAAACGCACGACGGCAGACGTCACCGTCTTAATAATAGTCACCTTCTGCAGCTGCTGCTCCAGCTGGTCCATCCGCGCTTTTCTCTTTTTCAGGTCTTGGTCGAGATTCTGAAGCGTCCTCTCCTTCTCCTCCATTGTCCTAGCTTTCTGATCGACGGACTTCGCGCGCTCGTCCATCTGCCTTCTCTGTTCGTCCAGTTGTCGGCGTTGCTCCTCCAGCTGTTTCCGCTCCTGTGTAGTATCTGCGCCAGCCTTGGCTGCTCCAGCTTGTAGTTTCTTGTTGGCTTCGTGCAAGTCCACCTGCATTTAGGAAGGAATCACTGTAGTGCACACACCCCGTTCTTATCATTGCGCGCGCGCGCGCACGCACGCGATTTCTGTCTGCTTTCTTTCATCATTTTTGCTCCCCCTTTTTTCTTTCCTTTCCTTTTGCTTTTTTTTCTTTTCTTTTCTTTTCTCTCGTTATAAATCGGACGAAAATCAACTGCGAGACAAAGATAGAAAGAGAAGCTGATGTGTGCCGTAAGAGCTATGATGACCATTCCAAAAATGCAAAATCGACGACCGTCCGTCTCTATTTGCGCTTTGGCGTTACGTGTGCTTTGCTATGTATAGATCTCGTTTGCTTGTGTGTGAGTCTCTCGATTTCCAAAGTGCAATTAGATTCGCAAGGACGCGCCAACTCTCAGATCTTCTCTGACTTCGCAACTAACGAATGACTCGTATCTCTCTCTCTCTCTCTCTCTCTCTCTCTCTCTCTCTCTCTCTCTCTCTCTCTCTCTCTCTCTTTCTCTCTCTCTCTTTATCTCTCTCCCCGTATCTTTCACGGAGACCTCGAGGACCGTGTCCTTCGATTATATTATCGGTAGGATGCGTGGCGTGTCTTGTGATGGACGCACAATGGACTTTCCTCGGAGGAGCCGAGAGTCGCGTCTTGCCGGCTAACTGGTCGACGTGACAAACTCATGAATGCATGATACGTGAATTATAATAATGAACGATAACAATAATAACAATAACGATAATAATAATAATAATGAAACGATAATTGAACGTGACATCACACAGACACTCCTCCATATCTAATGATTACAGCAAAATGTATATACATACAGAGAGACGTATCGTGATAAAAACGTGGCGAATATAAGACAACGTATATATCTACAATGAGGTATATATATAATAATAATAATAATAATAATAATAATAATATACATGAGCAAACGCGCATTGGGTGTGCACCAATCAGAGAGAGGAGAATACCGTTCACGAGGACGAACGCGCGTCGACGTTCGCAAAGGAAGTGTCGGTCAGGACAATCGTGTGAGCTAATTTAAGTGAGAGAAGCGGAGAGAATCGTGTGTGAAATCGCCGAGAGATCGCGACAGTGAAGCGGTATTTCTTCATCTCATCGATGCAGTGCATGCTTTCTAACATAAACTTCTCCACGACCTTGCTTCTTGCAGCAATGATTAATGCGCGACATAAGCGCAACGGTAACACACAATAATATGAGTAAATGTAGTAATAATAATAATCGGAGGAGCGAGCGCAAACGCGAATCTCCCGGTGGCACTTTCGACCTCTCACTGTGCCCTCGCCGCGTATATGCATCGTCTCTTGCACTCGCTCTCCTCTCACCGTAACAATAATAATCACAATGCCGATGGGCAACCAAAAGTACAACGACAGTAACGTGATGATGATGATAATAATAATAATAACAACAATAATAACAAAAGTAACAATAACGATAACAATAATATAAGAAGAAGAAGAAGAAGAAGAAGAAGAATAGTATTAAGGCCAACGACAAGAATATTGATAACAATAACAATAACAACAATAATAATAATAATAATAATAATAATAATAATAATAATAGCGATATATTACAAACAAGTGTAAAACTTCATTGTGAAGAAATACAAACGAACGGTAATCGCAAGAATAAAAGTAACAGTAACTGCATGTAAGAACGAGAAGAGACGGTGATAATTATAATAATCATAACGATGAAAACTTGGAATATATTTCGATAGCAATGAGCGAATGGCGGTGCTAGGAGGTATCGCCAGGCCTCGGGATAGGACTCGGGGTGTGCGGATTCCCGTTGTGGATCGGGGATCCTTATGTCTGACTTGCGAAGGAACGTTGCGTCGTGTGCTGCGACATCGCTGCGCGCGGTACGTAACGTATGTAAGACGAGAGAAAGAGAATTGTGTGCGCAGTGGGGTGCAACGTGTCCAAGGGATTCGTTTTTTTTACAAATCACGCATATCTTACATCGTTTCTCATATTGTGTTTCTTTCTTTCTAGTACTTTTTTGTCTCTTTTCTTTTTTCTTTGGGGCGGCGTGTGTGAAAGTCTGTCTGTCTCCTCGCGCTGCGAAGAAGAGAAGGGGTGAGGGGGAGGACGAGAAAGAAGAAGGGAAGTGAATAATTATCTGCACGACGCTATTCTCCTCGTGAGAATTTTTCACAAGTTCGCCTTGGCGAGATTGTCGAGCAAAGGCATAACTTGCGGCGTGACCTCTGGATTTTTCGCACAACACATTTTTCATGCTAAGCCGCGGATTAAAACTCTATCGCAAGCAAGATGCCCACTTGAAGCTGATTGAAGAAAATAGTTTTGAAGGGGGAGAAATCGAGGCTCTCTTTAACAAGTTGAACAATAGTTGAAAAAGCAGAGCCAAGTTGAAAAAGCGGAGCCAAAATACATAGATGTCGTAGTGCAATAAAAAACAATAAATCTTCACTCGACTAGTTGCTTCATTAGAAATTACGCGGAAATTTAGTAAGAAAAAAGAAAGTTTCAAGACATGCCAGTTCTTTTCGGAGCCTTTCCAGTGTAAGTAAAAATTAGTCAACAATCTCACGCGTTAAAACGTGCAAGTTATACAAATGCGATAACGCGAGGGCGGAATGATTCTCAGCGCAGCAGCAGTCAGGACAGAGTTCGCAGCCAAAAGATGTATCCTGCATGAAAAGTCAAGAGAAATTCATAAAAGGAATAATAATAATAAATGGCAAAAGTAACGTTGAGTTTAAGTCGCCGTTCGTTTCGATCGCTCGTTCTCTCGGAAATCAGCGACCGATTCTCGGCACAATTTTGCCGCTGAGAAAAATCGCAAATTTTCACGAGGAGAGATGGGGCGCTCGATAAATGAACAGCAGGCGCGAATAACGCGAATAACGGGAAGATGCACGCCGTGCGTCTTGCCTCGCAGAGTGCGGCCGCGGCGAGAGGGTGCGCGGGATGCTAGCGGTGGTGAGATGGTGGTGTGGAAGTGGTGAGAATGTGATGATTGCGATGTGGCGATGGCGATGGTGTGGTGGTGAATATGTGGAAGTGGACGTGAGCAGCGCGAGCGAGCGAGGCGTGGCGTGACGTCGTCGCTGACGACGCTGCTCTCGCTGCCGCCGTGATCGTCGTCACCGCTGGCGGCTGCTAACCTGATTTTTCTCGAGTTCCTGGCACAGCATCTCGAGCTGCGCCTGGAACCGCTCGCGTTCCACGGTCGCCTGCTTAATCTCCTCGCGCGCACGTTCCAGCTCCTTTCTCAGCCTGCCGACCTCCTGGCCGTTCTGCATGGGCTGCGGCGGCGGCGGCTGCTGCTGCTGCTGCTGCTGTATGGTGACCTGCATCTGCTGGATCTGTTGTTGCTGGGCGTGTAGCTGCCGCTCGGTCGCCTGTATCCGCTTCTGCAACTCGCCGGCCTCGCGTTCAGCCGTGTCGGCGCGCTGTCGTTCGGTCTCGCAGAGCTTCCGCCACTGCTCGAGCTGCGCTTCGGACGCGGTCTCGGCGCCGCGCGACGACAGCTGCTTCTGCAGCTCCTGCACCCGCTTCTCCGCCTGCTCGGCGCGCTGCCGCTCCTTCTGCTGCGTTTGCTGCAGACTCTGCACCTGCTGGCTGAGCCGCTGCACCTCGCGCATCTGAGCGTCGAGCGCCTCCTTGGCCGCGCGATCGGGCGTCTGCGCGTGAGCCCGTTGCTGAAGCCTGCGGGCCTCCTCGCGCTGGCGCTCGAGCTCAGCCTCGTTCGCGCTCAGCTCCTGCTGGAAGTTCAGCAGCATCTCCTGCGACTTCTCCAGCTGTATGACCAGCTGGTCGCGCTCGACCTGCAGCTGCTTCGCGTCCGCCTCCAGCTTCTCCTTCATCTTCTCGACCTTCTCCGAATGCTTCTCCCGGTTCTCCAAGATGGCCGCCATCTTGTCGCGCTCGCGCTGCGCCAGCTGCAGCTCGTACTGCATCCGCGCGAGCTCCTCGCCGCCGGCGATCTGTTGCTGCTGCTGCTGCTGCGTGCGGCGTAGCTCTTGGCGCAGCGTGTCGCGCTCCTCGCGCAGGATCTGCAAGTCCGCGGTGAATCGCTCGAGCTCCTTCTTCGTGGCCTCCGCAGTCTCCTGATACTTGGCAGTCTGCAGGTGCGTCTTCTCGAGCTCCTTGGCGAGCCTGCCGGCCTCGAGCTCGACCTGATCGCGCGCCACGATCGCCTTGTCCAGGCTGGCACGCAGACGCTCCACCTCGATGCTCGCGCTCTCCGACCTGGTCTTACCCTCGGTCTGCATCAGCCGCTCCAGCCGCACGATCTCGACGCGCAGCTTCTCGTTGTCGGCCTCGAGGGCCTCCCCCCGCGCCTTCACCTTGTCGTGCCGGTCCCGGATCTTCTCGGCCTCGATCCGCGCGCGCTCGATCTCCGAGCGATTGCGCTCCTGCGCCGCGGTCACCTTGCCGGTCTCCTCGCGCGCCCGCTCGAGCTGAAGCTGCGCCTCGTGCAGCTTCGCCTCGAGCTCGGCGTGGCTCGACTGCGTCCTCTTGAGCTCGGACTCGCGGCCGTCGAGCCGCTCGCGAAGCTTCTCCACCTCCTGCTGTAGCCTACTACCCTCGCTCTGCCACTTCTCCTGCTCGTACTGGTATTTACCTCGCACGCCCTCCGCACGCTCCAGATCGGCGCGCAGCCTCGAGGCGTCCTGCTCGGCCTTCCGCGCGCGCTCGAGCTCAGCCAGGGCCTTCTCCAGTCGGTCCCGCAGCCGCTCCACCTCCAGCTTCGCCCACTCGTGCTCCTCCTTGTGCCGCTCCTGACTCTCCTGATACTTGCCAAAGCGGGTCGCGTACCTCTCGACTTCCTCGCGCGCGCTCTCCGCCTCGGTGCGCAGCCTCTCCGCCTCCGCCTGCGCCTTCCTCACCTCGGCCTGCTGACGGTCGTGCTTCTCGTACATCTTCTCGATCTCCAGCTGCATCCGGGTGAGCTCCTCCTGCGTCTTCTCGGTAGCCGCCTGCGCCTTGTTCAGCTGCGAGTGCGCGCGCTCCAGCTCGAAGCTGAAGCGCTCGTTATCGCCGGTCAACTTCTCGCGCTCGTTCTGCAGACGGCGCAGCTCGATCTGCGACTTCTCGTAGCGCTCGCGCACCATCTCCAGGTCGACGCTCAGCCGATCGATGTTCTCCTTCGACTTCTCCTCGTGCTCCTTCGTGCGGCCGAGCTGCAGCGTCGCGCGATCGTACATCTCCTGGACGCGCGACAGCTCCTCCTGGGCCTTGCGTGATTCCTCGCGCGACTTGGCCGCCAGCATCTGCTGTTTTTCCGCCTCCAGCTCGAGCCGGTCCTTGTCCGCCTCCATCACGTCGATGCGGTTCTGCAGACGGTACACCTCACTCTGCGCCCTGCCACATTGCCGTTACGATATTTAGCATACTTGCTTTAGTGTTGGATTCTTTTCGATAAATACTTTGCGCATTATATACTTCCATTCCACCGCCATCGCTTCGTCTCCTTTTATGTGCTCTACATTTGCAAGATTTGTGTATGCGTTAAGGGTCGAGATTATTCGATATCCCGAGAAGAAATGATCGTGCAGGGTGACCGGACAAGATGTTTCGAACAAAGTCTAAGTAAAATGTCTTGTTGCTTCCTCAAGATCAAACAATTTTTGTCTGAAGCATTTTTTTAAACTGATGCATTTTGTCTGATGCATTTCTTCCGAGATTTTTAAGTAGGCGTTCAAAGTGGACCAACTTGTATGTGAATTTTTTTTTATATGGCTATGGGAATTTTGTTTATATATGTCCACGACAAAAAGAATTTAACATTACGATTAAAATAATTGTTTATGTTCGTGGCATGTCGATGTTTAATTTTACTGTTACAACATTTTACTTTAGGTCTTGCTTACAAGAATATGTTATGTTGAAGACTGAAAAGTCGCTATGTGAATAATCTCCCTCGACTATTTCTGATGAGAAAAAAATTAATTCTAAATTATGTGACTATATAGAAACAAAATTCGTATATGATATCTTGTATTTAATTAATTATATATAACTTTGTGCAGTTAAGTTTAATAACTTTTTCTCAGGATGTTCCGTCTACATAAGACATGGAGTTTCCTGTATCGAGCATTTTGAAACAACAAGAGCGTCTTTATGTCGGATCGGTAGTTATTTCGGTTGCGGAAGGACGAAATTGAAACTATTTTTAAGATATCATCGATTATCAGAAATCAATATTTTTGTTTATAACCACACCCAACTATTTGAATATATGTCGATCCTTGTTTTCTTCAATATCGCCCACGCTATAGTATGTAATTAACACATCGACTGTCAACGAATTGTTTCTCGTGCAAAAAAGATTCTCTGTTCCATACGCCAAAATCGTGAGTTAATCCGCGCGTGAGTTTTCCGACTCCTTTTGCGAGTTTTGTGAGGTAATAGATATAATTAATTAGCATATATTACAACAACACGCTGATGTTGAAGTGTGGCGTCGGGAACGAAAAGCTTTGTAATGTCTCTGTTGCAGTCAACATGTTAAAAGAGATCTTTCCGACGTGGACGCGTCTGGTCGGTATTACCTATCGTATTTCTCCAGCATCTTCTCGAATTCCTTGGTGGTGTTCTCCCGCTCCTCGTGAGCCTTGTTCATGGCATATTGAGACTTCTCCAGTTTCTCCTTCAGGATTTGGATTTCAGTCAGAGCGTCATCTCGCTCGAGCTGTTTAGCCGCAACCCCGAGAAAACGAGAAGAAAGAGAGACATTTTATTTCCTGCATTTATATATAGACACCCATATAGATAGACAATATCTTCTTTCTCTCTCTCTCTCTCTCTCGGAATTCTGATATCCACAAGAGCATAAATGTGTATATAATATTTTTGCGATGTATTATTTCCGTGTAATTACGGGTCTATCCTCGTTGCTGAAACTCGCGCTGCAAGCGCAAGCTGCGAGCGATCTATTTAATTTTGTCTTGATTAAATCGATCGCGGGGAAGTGATAACGCACACACACACACACACACATCGCGAGCGCTCTAGTCTTCTCACCGTCAATTTTTGATGAGTGTTGTGCGCTTTCTCCCATCTCTCCTTCACCATCTCGATTTCCGACAGAACGTTCTCCTTGTCGCGCTGCAGCTTGCCAATCTGATTCTGCTGCAGCTCCAACCTCTCATGCATCTTCTCCATCTCCTCCTGGAAGCTGTCCCGCTCCTTCTGCAGTCGTTGCACTATGATCTAAAGTGACAAGTTGGCTCGTTAGGAAACGGCCAAATTGCATCTTTGGCCGCTGCAATGGCTGACGAAACTCACTTGCGCCTTCTCGTACTTGTCCTGCAGCCGATCGACCTCCAGCTGAATCGTCTCGCGCTCCTTCTGCATCCTCGTCGACTGTCCTAACGCCTTGTCGAGCTGGCTTTGCAGATTATCGAAGTCGTAATTCTGCTTCTCCCTTTCCATTTGCATCTGCAACAATTGCGATGTGTCTTTATGTATACATCGCGATCTCATGTAGGTGTGCTGCTCATTGTGAAAGTGGCGTGAACTTGATTTTGGGAAGAGACCGAATCAGCGTAAACAAAGTGAGACGAATGTGAATAAAGACTGAACGTGTATTATTAATATTGTAACGCAATATTATGTAAGTGATATTGCATGACGTAATATTATATGATGTGCATTGTATTATTAATATTGTAATCTTGTAATCATGTAATGGTATTATGTAATATATGATATTTTCAAGGTAAACGATTCGTATGAGAGAGCGGACGGAAAGGTGTACGATGAGATCTTGTCTTTGTGCCTTGCGGCAAATTTTTGCAGAAATTGAGCGACGGGAGATAGAAATCTGGTACCTTTCCTCAAAGGTACTCACTCTACGAACTTCGGTCTGCGTTTTATCGAGCTTTTCCTGCAGCTTGTCGACCTCGCTCTGCGTCTTGTCCAGCAGATTCTGCAGTTTGTCTTGCTGAAGTTGCGCCTTGCCGAGGGTGGCCTGCGTGCGCTCGAGTTCCTCTTGCGACTTCTCGAATTCGCCGATCGCTTTGTCCCTCTCGGAGTGAAGACGAGCCACGGACGCCTGTGCCCGATCGTACTCTTCTCGCAGGCTCTCCTGTTCGGTTTGAGCATTCTCCAGTCGGGCTTTGAGCCTGTACACCTCGCCCTGACTCTTCTCCACCTGGAACGGAGGAGAAAGATTGCCTCTTAATGTCACTTCGCAAGTTCAAAATGTCATGGCTCAGTCGCCCTTGAATAAAAAATGATCATACATAATTATATGTATATATATAATAATTATACATAATTATATATAAAATTTTATACACAGGGTGTCCCGTGATTCGTGCCAATTATTTCCACAATGCATTCTTTTGACAATCTTTGGCTAAGACTTTTGACAATTTTTCCTTGGGAGAAATATCCAGGAAAGTCATTATTTTTAATTAGTTTTCAACGTTCCACACAGTACCACATATTTTTGGAATTAAGTCTCAAGATTAAAATTCTACTGAAACAATGTCGACAAAATAATTTTGTTTAATTCGCGGAAAGCTCCGCTTTTTTATCGCTTGTATCTAGGAAACTGTCTCGACGCTTCGACATTTTTGCCAACAAAGAGAGACAAACTTTTATAAAAAATAGTGCTGAATAGCGGGCACGAATTACGAGAGACACCTTGTATAATAATATGTAGAAATTACCCGTCATTATATACGTGACTCATACGTGAATCTTATCTCCATATTGCCGCGCATACAATCATACGAAATTACACGCAATGTCCACACGGCAAGCGTTGAATCGACCAAAATTGTTTCATTCAATTAAACGTTGGCGTCACGGGCTGCTGCGCGAACATAAGTAATTGCTTCAGTTATGTTTCTACAGCGATACAACAACACTTTTTCCGGCGTGGACATGTTACTTGGGATTACATACAGCCATGTGGACGTAGAATTCATGTAAAATAACGCACAATCATTTTTCTCTCGGGTCTCTCTCTCTCTCTCTCTCTCTCTCTCTCTCTCTCTCTCTCTCTCTCTCTCTCTCTCTCTAGTCGGCCGCAGGTCGGCACAAGTAAAAGAGCTCGGTTTACGCGTACTTGTAGCATTACTCCTCCAAGTACGCCACCCTCACGCGTAATTACGGGCGAAGTGGGGCACGACGCGGCGGTGGAAAAGCGGTGGAAACGAAAGTTAACGCGATTCGCTGCCGCTGGAACGATATCCACGTTATTATCCTGCTCACTCTCTTTCTCTCCCGTCGATTCGCCCTTTATTCCCCGTCGTTAACTCGCATCTTCGCGCGCAAAAATCGCGCGGCAGACCCGGCGCGGCGGTGCGGCGGTGCGGCGGGCGCAAATGCGAACTTAAGCACACCGTTTAGCTGTGTTCCTCGGCGAGAGCGGCCGGTACATGGTAATGCACGCGAGCAATTTTCCAGTCACTTAGGCGGCGGGATCGTTACCGCTGCCGGTTACAGCGACGCTCGCGGACGCGGCGCAGGACGAAGGGATGATTGGAAATTGGATCCTATTGCACCGGCAACCACGTAGATAGCACGTAGTAGCGAGAAGAAGCACTGGAAGACGGAGAACGGCCAATGGAGGGAGGAGATGTCGGAGAAGGAGAAGAAGAAGGAGGAGGAGGAACGAGATCGAAGTTCCAGACGGCTGTCGAAGGCGTGCGATTGAATCGATCGCGATTAAAAGCGATTGTTCGCGCGAAAACGCGGCCCCGGGCCAATTCGAGCCGATCCTCGGAAAGTGCTCGTCGAAATGGAACTGCCGAGTCGCTCGAAACGGACCTCCAGTCGTCCATTAATAGACCACGAGTGGCGACGTGTATACGGGTCGTGTTCTCCGACAAAGTAGTTCAGGTTACTTCTGCGCCGATCAATCGATAGGCGCGGTAATTGACGTATAAATAGCGCTCTCGCGAGGGTCGTTGAAGAAAACGCGGGTATTTCGAGCGGTCGCGAAATCGAAATATTCCATGAGCGCGCGCTTCTTCTTTCTCTCTTTCTCTCCCGCTCGCTCGGCCCCGCTCGCCCGCGCGATTCAGGCCGCCGGGTATTTCCGTGGGTCTCTTTGAATAACTGGTCGCGATGCTACGTGTCCGTTCTTCCTTTTTTTCTTGCTTGTCAGGTAAACACGCGGCGGTGTTAAGACACGGCAAGATATTGCCGCTGGTGTAATGAAATGCGCGGGGCTCAGCAAAGCGGCCCGCGAGAGTCCGCCTCGTCGCTCTTCGCGGCTCGTCTAAACCGTCGCGGAGAGTTTTGGAAGAGCGTTGTTGACGGAGTCAACAATCGTCGCGGTGACTTTGCCCGACAGCGAGAAACGACTCGGACGTTATCTCGCAATTCGATATCGTCGTTTATATCACGAGGTAACTCGTAAATAATCAAACGTAAATAATCAAGACTCTTATTCCTGGCGGTCCTTATCTTGTAACGCGTAACAAATTTTTCCCTAGTATGCCGCTTATGTGGTTGAGCTATTCCACTTATCGCATCGTGAATTTCTAAGAAAGATACCATATTCAACTGTAAGAAAAACAAATTGGCGGCAGTATATGGTACGGTAACTAAATAATAAAATTAAGTTAAAATACCGTTAAAGTAAGTACCGTAAGAGTATATTGAAAGAAAAAAGACACGACTATGCCATATTATAATTATGACGATAAATTGAAGCAGTATATCTTGCAACTGTAGTACAATAAAAACAAATGCAGTACACGTTATAATTATATTGTAACAAAAACAAATATACATTTTAGCCATATTACGAGAAGAATAAATACAATAATATTGCAATTATATCGCATGAAAAATAAAAGCTCTGTCTACAGACTTTCTCGAGTGTTTAATTTGGAAATAGCTTGATTATTTATTTTTAATATATCTCGCCGTATGTGTGCGCGACGAAGACAGAAGGGAAGCAAGATGAACGTACCTTCTCCTGAAGGGACGCGGCCTCAGCGCGCGCCCTTTCGTTATCCGCCTGTGTGACCCTCAGCTCGGCCTGGGCCCTCCTCAGATCGGCAGCCGCTTTCTCAGCTCGCTCTTGGATCCGCTCCATCTCCTGGGACGAGTTCAGGGTGCTTCTACCGTACGTGGACGACCTCTCGATGTCGTGTCTCAACCTCTCGTTCTCCAGCTCCAGCCTGGTCAGCCGCTGCTTCGCGGCCTCCCAGTCGGCGCCGCTGCGTCCGACCTCGGACGCGGCCTTGTCCAGCTCGGCCTTGCTCTTGCCGAGCTCAGACTGCGAGCTCTCGAGCTTCGCCTCCAGTCGGTCCTTCTCCGCCTGCGCTCGCTCGAGACGCGCGCCCAGCTTCTCGACCTGTCAATTAACGCGGTCGTATTAGCGAGAATTGTCAGATAATGATACGCCGAAATAGAAATAGAGATCGAAATAGAATGGAATATAGAATAGAAATGGAAATACTGAAGGTGAAAAGGCTTGATCTCTTTAAGCTCATACTCGCCTTTTCCTACCATTGAGTGGGAAATATCAATAAAATCTTGCTTTATTTTTATCACAAGAAGAAACAAAAAGAAACGCTGTGCAATCGGTCCCTTATTCCGTTCAAATTATTATACAATAAAGAGATGAAAGGACTTGATTTCCTTAAACTCATATTCGCCTTTTTCATCCCATCCCATTGATCAAGGAGATCAACGAAATTTTTCTTTTATTTTTATTACAAAAAATAAAAAAATATACTGTGCAATCGGTATATTGATCCCTTCCGTTCCAGTTATATCGACTTCATGAATTTTGGTAAATTTGTCGACCTTATGGTTATCATCATTAATAAGCATCACGAGAGCCCCGAGGAACTCATAAATGAGCATTTTCAATTACACAGAGAGGAATTACGACACGGGGAACAGAAATTCTGCTCCTTGCGAAGCCCAAATTCTCAGAGTTACCTCGATCTAATTTCCACACGACTGAACGTTCAAACGGAACGTTTTCGGTCGCAGTAATTGAAGATATATAGAACGAGCGGGAGGAGCGGTTAAATTAACGCGACAATATAAACCAAAGGGCCAAAGCACGTGTTGGCCGAAGGATAGAGAATTTCAGGTTCGTCATGAGATTTCCGTAAGAACCAGAAATTTCCTTCGACCGTCCCCGCTCGGTCCAGCTCGTTTTCACCGCTACGTTAATCCACAATCGATCTTCTCTCTCCGTGTGATCGGCAGATTGACACCACTCGCTTGCTAAGACGAAGGCGTTTTCACACGACAGCTATCACGGAGAAAGCGCCCCTTCTCGTTTACTCTCCTGGCTCGGCCACTCACCTCGGACTCCAAGGCGTGTATCTTCATTTTGTACTCGGCGATCTCCCTCTCGTGCAATTCCCTCTCCTCCTGCTTCTCCTGCTCGGCCCTGTCCCTCTGCTCGCGTAGTTGTGCCATTTGCTTTTCTTTATCCCCGATTGCCTCCTCGAGGCTGCTAAGGGCACCCTCGCTGCTGCAATGATGCGCCTGCATCGCCGTCAGCCTGGCCCTGGCCATGTCGACCTGATTGTCCTTCTCCTTCAGCAGATCTTCCAGATTCTCGATCTGAAGCCAACACAGCGAGCTCGGCCATAAGAGCAAAGAGTCGCGTCGTCGTTTTCGTAAGCTCCCGTCGTCTCGTCGGTGTAATACAACGTCGTCGGGTATGCTAATCCGGCCAGCCGTAAAAAGCGACACACACCGTCTCGCGAGCCGGGAGACGGACAGACTTTTTTAATCTCCCCATCTGGCGATTCCCCGGGAAGCTTCGAAGTTTGAGAAAAAAAATAAAGAGAAAAAAAGAAGAAATCCCCCTCGTCCCGGAGATCCGCCGTTTAATTACAGCGAGATCGATCTCCGACGATATTATTCCCCGACGCTAAGTAGCCGCTGTGCTCCGCGCGTTAATTATAGCGCGCCTGTATTATTCGCGCCGCGGTCTAATTAAGCGTTAAATTTTTACGTAATAACACGCGCTATATTTACACGGCTTCTCCTCTCCCTCCACCCCCTCCCCACCACCCCCCTCTTCCATCAACACAGCCGTCTCCCGCACGTTCCGGGTGGAGGATGAATCAGCGAAGCGAGATTAGCGCGATAGCTACATTTAGGAAATGAAAGCCGGGACGATTTTCACGCGAGTCGTAAACTTCGCGCGTGTGGTTAATCCCCAGCTCCCCAGCTCCCTGCCTCCCTCCCTCCCTCCTCCGTCCTTCCCGAGCGTAGGTTCCGCCGAAGGTCTCGCGAGAGAGATATCAATGCGGAATCTTGTTAATTAGCGTCACGTGATCTCACCTACCTGCCAACGCACTGCCGTCGGTCTTCCTGTACTCACACGACCGTGCCCGGGCGTCGTCGTCATCATCGTCGCGGCCGGCGCGCTAATCAATCGAGGATCAAGGAAAAACGCGTGGCCGCGCGCCTTCGAGAAACGGGGAACGGGGTCGAATTAAGGGGACTGAAAAATCGTGCTTGTTTTTGATAATGATTTTGTGTGACGAACTGAATAAATGTGCAAGAATGAAAATTTTACATATATTTATATAACATATGAAGAATATGAGAATTTTGTTTTTAAACAAATATAAATATACGTCCACTTAAATTTTAAACGCGTTTTCCTCGAAATTTTATCGTTCAACTTTTTGCAGTGATTCCTCCGAAACTGAGCTTCGTATCGATTTGAAGTTTTAAAGCAATAATATTTGTTCATGTGGCTCTCAGGTGAACCATCGACAGCGCTCCGTCAAAATATTTCATTTCGAGATATTAATTATTTTAAAGGAACTGAAAAATTTGAATTTTTTTCTATTATAATAGCTGCCATTTTGCTAATTTTGTTCGATATTTTTTTCTAGTGGTACACCGGATAATCATAAGCCTCCTCAAGATTTCTAGCTAAAATTCGCTCTGATCGGACCACCGAGAGCCGAGATATTGCAAAAACGATAACTTGAACAAAAAAGGAGAGTATATTTCAGCTATATATATATATATATCGTATATTTATACGAGTATTTGTTAATAAATCAAATTTTTCTACTCTTCGTATGTTATATAACTATATATTGTATACCTAATGTAAATATTGTAACCATATGTATAACATATGTTGTATACCTAAAATTTTCATTCTTGCATATTTATTCAGTTCGTCATAAAATATTATCAAACACAAGCACGATTTTTCAGAAATCTGATCCTCCAGGCCCCTTAATGGATCCCATCAGCGGCCTCCGCGCGACAAGCGCGCGTCGCGCGCGCCGCGCCGTCTCCTGGTAGCGCGACACAGGCACAGGTGCTTTCGATTGAGGCTGATCGCGACGAAAGGGAAATAAGTGGAAGTTATGCAAATTAAATCGCGCGCAGCTACAGCGCAGCTAATCGAGCGTGGTGGTGGCGTGCAGCGTAAACTAAACGATAAGTATAACGCCGAAAATAATGACAAATAAATCGCTCCGCTCGGCCGCCGCTGAATGGCCGATCGCGAGGCCGACGGCGGCGGCGGCGGCGAAGGTGCACACTAACCGCGATGTGCGTCGTACAATTTACAGTAATTAAATATTAACGACATTTTCGCAACGACAGCTAACGCAGGATTGTGATCGGAAGCAAGGAGAAAGCGCGGGCTAAGGTGACGGCGAATTAACGGTGAGGATCGAGGATCGAGGAAATGAGCGACAAAGGGAGAAAGGCGAGGATGACGAAGAGGAAGAAAAGGAAGAGAAAGAAGAAGAAGGAGCTTCTACGCGCAGGAACTAAGTATCGAACTACATAATCGTGACAACGTAATTACGATCGAAGGTGATAAACTAAAGTAAGCGGGACGCAACGCAACGTAATCTTACAAATGACGCCTGTTCCGTTCTTTTCAGCTGAATGAGCTTGCGCTTTTTTGCGCTCGTAGAGAGGTGTGAGTGCATAATCAGCGATGAACGTTAATCGATTGAAATGTTGGTTGCCTGAAATAATCGAAATTAACATCGAACGAATTGTGATTGCATACACATACACACACACACATGTATGTATAATAGTTGCTTTAATCGATTATTTTCACTTGACTAGATACTCGTCAATAATTAATTTCATCAATCAGATAAAATTATTTATAATTATGCGGCGATTGATCAATTTTGATTATTAATGTATTGATTACTTTAATCAAAATTTTAATCGAGTGAGATTTTACGTATAACGATTAAAGTTTGGCTGAAATTTTACACACAATGATTGTTTCGATCGTTTATTTTGATTTAACTGATTATGCATTGTCTAATAATTAAATTTCCTAATCAGAAATTAAATAAAATTATTCATAATGTATGACGATTGATTAATTTTTATTGTTGTTGTGTCGAATATTTAGTCGAAAAAGATTTTAATCAAGTGAGATATTACATATATAATAATTAAAATTTGACTCAAATTTTACATATAATAATTGTTTCAATTATTTATTCTCTTTGATTTGACAGATTGTACACTAATAATTAAACAGATTGATTTATTCAAAATTGCATGTATAACGATTAATTTTGATTATTGACTTGCCGATTGTTTTATCCAACGAAGATTTTGCACACAACGATTAAGATTGGACTAGGATTTTAACCGTCTATGAAATTTCATATTTTGCAATGATTTTTAGAACCAATCACTTTCATTTGATATATTATACAGTGATTAATTAATTTAATTTCGTCGGTCGGATTAAATTATTCGTACGATTACTCATACGACGAGAGCGATTATTGACTTGCCGATTACTTTAGCCAGCCAAGATTCCCATCGATCAACAACCAACATCGCAACGTGGTAGGTAGGCGTCGAAGGTAGGGGAGACCAATGCAGGCAAAGTTAATTCAGCTGAAAAGAACCGACTTCTTATCAGCTACGAGACGCACAACTACGCAATGTAACGTGATGGATGCGAGTGCGACGTGAGACGGAAAGCGCTGCCGTGAGGAGGACGTGTAGACGAAAGCACGGCGCGCGCGATGCGACGCGTCGGTCTTTCCTCACCAACTGCATTTGCGCCCGTGTGTAAACTGGTGACTGCACGAGGGGAGAGAGGTAACCGCGAGAGAGTTATACAAAACTGGCAAACAAAAACGCCGCAAGAACGTCACAGAAAGAAGAGACAGGCGCGCGCGCGCGCGCGCCACATCTGTGCCAGGGCCGATCGACGACGGCCGAACCTTCGGTACTCATGCGCATTCCTTCTCGTCCGTTGCAACAAGGGGATGATGCACCGCGTCTCTCGGAAATGCGAGGTGCTTCCTTCGCTCTCCGCCGAGTCCGAGCAATTAGCGGCCGGCACTTTGCGCGTGCGATTATACGCTCGCGCGCACACCTAATTCGAGGATCTCGCGTTTGTCCCGTCGAACGATGAGGAAGGGGATCGGAGAAGACTGGAGAGAGGAGGGAGAAAGAGAGAGAGAGAGAGAGGGAGAAACTCAAAGGTCTCTCTCTCTCTCTCTCTCTCTCTCTCTCTCTCTGAGGCGCACGAGGCTGATGAAGCAGTAATCAAAGGCGAAATCTCCGTGGAAAGTGGGCGCCGCGAAAGGAAAAGCCGAGAGGGTGACTGTTGGCGTTTTTCTCCAGTAATTTCTCTTTCTTCCGCCTTGCTTTATCGCGGAGAACTCCAATGCGAGATATTATCGAAATTGTAGGTCCTGGATCCGCGGAGGGGTGAATTGAAAAGAGAGACAGACAGACAGACAGAGAGAGAGAGAGAGAGAGAGAGAGAGAGAGAGAGAGAGAGACAAAGAGAGAGAAAGAGAGAGAGAGAGAGAGAGAGAGAGAGAGAGAGAGAGAGAGAGAGAGAGAGAAAGAGGGAGGAAAAGTGGATCTCGTTTGAGGTACTTGGCCTGTAAACCTATTTTCTCTCGGGAATCTTTCTGAAATTTAGGTTACATTAAAGTTGGATCTACGCGCATGTACAAAATTAAAGAAGATTGCCCCGGAACTCGGATAATTGAAGTCGGGGTTACACGAAGTCGCATGAATACGCCGAGTTTTAATTCTGGCGAGCAAATTACGCTAGTACGTTTTTAGCGAAAGATAAGAAGACGGTTCGTGACAGAAATGTTGCAAGAGGAATTGCAAGAGATCGCGTTGATCGTACAGCTTCCGGAAAATTAACACGGAAAGTGCGCAATTTCTGGTAGCGGCTGATCTGCATGGCGATTGTTTGACTTGCGCTGAGATTATTTCGGTCTAACAAGATTTTCACCGGCTAAGATCTCGCATGCGCTGATTGTTTCAACCGGTCGCTCTTATTTGACTCTGATTATGTACTGACTAATAATTGCCGATTAACAATAGCTGACTAATAATTTTACCAATCGAATTAAATTATTCGTAATTACGCGCACGACGACTGATTATTAATTGTGTGACTATTGAATAACTTGTCACGTTTCTCCGATGACGTTGATTCGCGTACGATATTTTTACACAATCCCTCAGCCGAGCACGTTAAAACGCGAGCGAGAATCGATTGTTCCTCTACTACGGGTTACTATAAATATTCTGCAAGTTTGATTAATATTTGCTCGCGACAATGTCAAAGCCATATCTCATAAAGCATATTTACAAACACGTTAACGCATACATACACCGGTCAGGCTTCTTCTTGCCGCAATTAATTACTCATTAATTCCGACAACTATTTAACCTTTTATCAACAATTTCCGCTTTTAAACATTAAGCATACGAGGATTTTTAGCAGCATTGTGACAGGCCAACTACCTTGATCTCACATCGCGTCGATGGGAGGTGCAATCGCAAGGATCAGATCAGCGCTTCGCCGAGACGTCATCGCAGGACACCTCCTGGTCCTTCCGCGACGGGACGCACGCGAGGATCACTCGTCACGCGGAGTCCCGGTTGAATCGGGACACGACAACGATCGATAGCGACGCGATAGCGCGTCGTTGTCGTCGTCGTCGTCGTCGCCAGGAATACGTTTCGCAGTGTCGGCACGTACATCGTCCTTCGTGAGGATCAGCCGCCGGAATTTCCTCAAAGAGCCGATCGCGGCGATTCACACGAGGCCGATTGATTGAAGTCGCACTGCTCGTACTCATGCGCGTCTCCGCGGTACGTGGAAGGGGTGGCTACGTGGGGTGGGGGGGATGGGGGGAATAAGAAAAACACGAACGCGCGAGAAAGAAAGAGAGAGAGAGAGAGAGAGAGAGGGAGACAGAGCTCCGCTAATTCATTAATTCCAGCGGAGCAACTAGCCCCTCTCGTAGCGATAAATATTCTCCTGAGCGTGAAGTGCCATCGCAGAGGCTGAGAAAACGAAGGCCCGCAGGACTCGAAGCGGCCGCCACCCTTCACCTCCCTCCCTCTCCGCGGTGTTTGCAACCCTCGCTCGCGATAGAGCGCGCGCCCCCAAAGTGCGCGATAAGGAAATTCATCTCGCCGAACTAGTCTCACTTCGCGCCGGCAATCTTCTCACATAATGCTCCCCAACCCCCTCCCCCCGCCCCTTTCTTACTACCGTTTCCAGTTATGAATCGCGATGAGGCGACTCCTCGCGTCTCGCTACGCGCCCTCGCTAGTCACCCCCGCGGCTGGGAAGCGATGAATACGTGAAAGCGTGAGTGATGGAGGGGGAGGGGAGGGAAGTAGGGCGTGGATGAAAAGTGGACGAGAGAGATCCTTGGCGGAGGATCGAAGGAGGGAACGAGCGGGATACGAAAAGACCGGAGATCTCGGAGAAGAGTCGAGTGCTGGCAGGAGACTCACCTTGCGCTGCAGCACGTTAATCTTGCGGTCCTTGATGTCCATGTGATCCTTCAGCTCGGTCAGCTCGGTGTTCATGCGATTGCGCTCCTGTTGCGCCTGCATCGCCGCCTGCGTCTTCTTCTCGATCATCCGGTTCTTCTCCTCGAGCCGCTGCCGCATTTCCTCGACCTGCGGCACGGCATGTTTTTCGCTCACGGTGAGAACGCTCGGGGGAGGAAGAAGACGAGGAGGAGGCGAGGCTCCTCGCGGCCCCGCGAGGTGCTGAGCCCTCAGGCGAGTCCAATTCGGGATATTCAGCGCGCAATACGTACGACGCACGTACACGCGCCGCGACGCGACGCGACGCCGAGGACGAGGACGGGGGGGGGGAGAGGGAGGGCGCGAGGGGAAGAGGAGAAGAGCAGAGGAGAGAAGAGAGAAGCTCGACCCAGTTTCCCGCGACGGCTCTTGGCCTTCCGTTCCTCGTTGGTGGCCTCTCCCGCAGCGCAGGGCTGCTGCTCGCCGCAGCTTTCGCCTCGGCCGACTCGGTCGGGCCGATCTGTTCGACGGACGGCCGAGATCACGTGCCGTCGATCACTCGATCCCGCCGGAAGTCCTCCCTCCCAGCCGAAGGTCTTCCGCGAGCTCGGCGAGGAGCGCGAATTTGTTCTCTCTTCCTCCTTTGCCGGGGTTTGCTTTGAAAGATTCATCCGGAGAGGGCACGTTCTCGGCACGTTGAGAGCACGAAGACGTTTCGAGCGTTTCAACGGCGAATTCCGAGCGCGAGCGTAGCTTCCGCTCTTCTTCCTTAATTTTTCATCGCTGGATCTCCCGTTGTCTCAAAGCCGGAAACGATCGTTCTCGACGTGCTGCTGCGCTCGACGTTAACTGCGCCCGGATATTTATTAGATCGAGAGGTACTGAATATTTTCGAGCGGAAGCAGTCGTTTCTAGGTTCAATCACGCGTTCATCGTCATTGTTAATCTCATCCGAGAACGAGGTGCAGTCCAGGATGTTTCAAAGCCGTCGTGATAGTTTGGCAGTTTGGGGTTTAGTCCGCGCGAGGTTACGTTCTGCCCGCTCGTGCGTTGCGCGTAATCAGCAGGAGAAAGCGGTGCAACAATTTAATTAAATTAAATATTTAAAGAAACAGCATCCAGCTGTTTTTCAGATATTTAATTGAATTAAATTGTTTAATTTAATTAATCAGGTCTGGATGTAGAAGAAAACCTGGATATATGGTACGAACGATAAGTAAATTTTTCCCGAGTTTCTGCAGCAGAGTTTCTCTCTCTGCATAATATATACATAAAATATTGTGGCATAAAATATATGCTGTAATATTTCAAATTTTATATAATTTAAAATAATTTTTTGGTCTATATGTACGTGTCGCTAACCGTAATTATGATGTTCCACCTACTGTGATTTTTTAATTTTATTCGAAGCTTGTTGTACCCGACAATGTACAAAATTTATAATAAAAACACATGCTTAGAAAAAAAAAATATGGGTCTGCATTAACTAATCCATCGAAGAAAAACGAGTGCAATCATCGCAAATTAGAACATGCTCGAACGAATTCGAGTTTTAACACGACTGAATGTCCAGATGAACGTTTCCGATCGCGAAAGGAGATATATCGTTTTTCACCACCGCGTTTGCGCCTCATCCTTCTTACACACAGAACTGAGATTTCTCCTTGCACGGTCTCGATCATGTACTCGATCGTTCCAGCATTAAGGATTACGACCTCGTTAACGTTTCGTTTGCTGCGAGCTCGGAGTATCTTGCAAGCGCGAGATAACGTCTGCAGGAGCACCGCGCGGCAAGAATTTCATTAGCCGACTGCGAAAAACAGAGGGGAAGCTCGAGGATTCCCCGCGTGCAGATGGTTGTTTCAGAATTTATGGGGTTTGCGTGAGTTTGGTCAACATTTCCGATGACCTCGTTTAAATTCGATTTCGCAGGTTCGCCCTAGTTTGACGTTAGACTTCGCCAGCAATTTTTCAGCTCGCGGAGCCTAGCTCGGAGGATTCCTAAGGCTTTCACGGCCTTCTGAGGACCCGTAAAAATGGAACCGACCACTGCTTCTTAATTCACGGGCGGTAATCCACCACGCGAGCTTCCGCGCCGGCGGCATTGAGTTAGTTACGGGATCTCGTCAGTCCCGCGCGGTGGCGAATGCATCTGCCGAACATTCGAATTTGAACGATGCGGTTGGAAATTCAGTATCGATTTCGGGGCTGAGGCGCGTTCTAGTTTCGAATCGGTGTGTGTGTGTGTGTGTGTGTGTGTGTATGCGCGCGCGGAACAACAAACGGACGATAAACTTGTTTACCGAGAACATATTTGGCAAATTCCTCTCCCGTTGTAAATTTTCCGCGGGAGCACAGGAGGATGCGTCTTCCGCACGCGAGCGCGCGTGCGGGAGAGAAATGATTAACGGGAGGATAGCGGACTTACTTTTCAACTCGAACACCGAAAGAACGAAACGCCTCGATTGCCAGTTGACTCGCTGGGAGTTGCGGCATGCGCGGAAAAATAATATATCTTTGTCGGCAGATTTTGAAAAATCGTCTTTGCAGTGAAATTTCAAGAATTATTACTTCCCGGCTTTACCCGCCGTTGATCTGGTTGATGAATAATCCACGGATTTGTAAGTCACTTTTTACAAGCCTTTTGCATCATCAAGAGATTCGAAAAATATTCACGAGTCATTGAACTCTTCTTCTTCAGATCGAGTGCGATAAAACAGAAAATAATTCGACTTCGAAAAGCTCTGCTGGCATTTACTCGAATGAACGATATGATGAAGTGCTTGGTAGAAAGATTTTGTAGCGTAAATCAAACGAAACACTATTAACTACAAGCAAAGCTCATGAAGATAACAGATCAAAACATTATTATTGTCCAAAAAAAGAAAATTGCTCCGGTAGAAATAGGTTACGTTAATCACCGGCGTTAAACGTTTGTTAAACGAAACGGATAAGAAACACGCGACTTTTCCCCGCGATTCGATCTATTCAGGGTAAGAAATTGCGACCTGAGAAATCCTTCTCATTGTGTGTGCGCTCCAATATTGCAAATTTGCAGACGATGCATTCGCTTCTTACGCAAATGGATTAATAAATAAGCGTGAATCTATTCCCGGTACTTTCGATCGATTCTGCCCTCACGGGGACTCAACCTTCACCCGCTGGTGTCCCCCGGGACATGGCAAGAGGGGGAGGAGCGGGCGACATCTGGTATAATTCTATTTTTATAACGGATCGGAAAGTTGAAAGGTATACACTCACATCAGCCTGCAGCATATTGTAATGTTCCTCCTTGGCGCAGAGGGATTCCTTGAGCACGGCGATGTGCCTCTGGTAATCCTGGTGCTGCTCCTCGAGCGTCTTCATCTTCGCCGACATCGCCAGCAGCTCCTGGTCCCTTCGCTGTACTTCCGTCCGGAGCTCGTCCAGCTGCGAAAAGATTCGTCGTCCAGGAGAGGATCAGTCCCTGCGCCCCGTCCGTCTCGGTGACGACGACGACGAAGACAACAGACGGCATAACGACGACGGCGACGAGCGACGGAAGCGTCGGGACTGCCGACTCTCTCCGTCATGACCGAGTACGACGACGGCGATAACAGCGACCGGTCCTCCGGCGAGACGGATTCGCGAGACGGAAGTTCGCGCGCGAGAAAAATTAAAAAATAAAATCAAAATAAAATGAACTGCCTTCTCTCACGCGAAGCGATACGTGGCGGTGGGCTCGTTGGACTCTTTTCAACTCGGCGGCGCGTTCGATGAAGCGACAGCTGCCGGCAGCTCCGAGTTTTATAATTTAACGCTTCATTATCGGTCCGCGTAATCCCTCGCACTTGGAAATTATATCAGCCGCAATCAGCCGCTGTCGAATTTATCGAAAATCGGCCACTTCTCAATTTTTCATGTTTCGGATTCCTGCACTTTCAGCGTCCCCCCCGCGAGTATCCTCTGATTCTTTAATTCGGCGCGATTAAAATTTCAATTGCAAATATAACGACGCGATAATTTCACCGGCTGGAATATCCGATTGTCGCCCGATTAATTGTTTTCTGATATCTTACCTTATGGAAAGGTAAATTTGTACTTTTAACGGAGCGCTTGCTGTCTTTTGATTTTCCGATTCTTCAACCCTTTTATTCAGATATCGACCGCGATATTCGAGAATGTTCGATGATACTTGGTTGGATTTTCCTGACGTGTTTCACGTGTAGAGAGGCAAATTTATAGTTTTAGGGCGGCTGCATCGCGTGTCTGAAATTATTCTCGATCCAAATTGCGCGTGAAATTGGTTCCCGAGCGGACAGCCTTGCGGAGTATAATCAGAGAGTTACTTAATTGCCGTTGGACTTTGACACGAGCCCTCCCTCCCTCCGATTCTCTTGAGAAAGATCAGGATTACTACGTAATTAAAATTACGTCAACGCGCCGTGAGAGAAGATTTATCCTGTGAAAGAGTTTCCACGTCGAGGATTAAAAATTAAATCGCACTGTCGTTTCGCCGCTTCGATCCCACCGCTATTTTTAACCGGCCTGCGCGCCTTTCTTGATCTTACTCGATCGGATTAACGAAGGAGGCTGACGTTCGAGCTATTACGATCGTGTCCTAATTACAGAGGCAAACAAGAAGCCTACGTGTGTGTCGCTCAGCGAGCGCCGGTCTCGGCGAAATTCAAATTTAAAACGCAGCTGCCCTTAATCGCGAGGAGATCTCGCGTCAACTGATTTGTACGTCCCTTCGAGCTCTCGAAGCATCGATTTTACTCTCTCGCGCGGTTAACTAACTTCTCCTTTTCTATCTACAACAGCTAGGGCTACGATCTAAGCGAGGATGGGGTCTTGCTGAGTTAGTTAACCGGCTGTGTCGAGTCTGATCGCCTCAATCGACCGATCGGCGCGCATCTTGCGCCTTGCGTCGCGTCGCACACACACACATACACACACATACACACACGAGAACTTCCGCGAGGTGTATCGAGAGAGATGGAAGGAGAAAAAAATTTAAGAAAAATCGTCGTCTCTCGTACTCGGACAGGGCTCGTACGAATGCATGCAGCATAATCGAGGCCAACAATACAACATTACATACATAGTGTCTTTCGAAAAAAGAGATGTAATACATATAAGTATATATATTTATATATAAATTTCTCGAGAGCATACGAGAAAGGCGTCACAAATGAAAGAGAAAGAGAGAGAGAGAGAGAGAGAGAGAGAAAGAGAATGAGAGAAAGAATATATACAGTTTTATATATATAAATATATATAGATATATACACACACAAGTGTTGATAGCGAAGAGTGTGGTGGAGTATATGACACAGAGAAAGGGGGGGTGGTCTTTCATAGGGAGAGATATATATTCGGGAGTCTGTTAGATATGTATGTGTCTCTCTTAATCTCGTGTACGTACCTACGCTCGTCTCATCTACTCTGGTGTCGGCAGGCCGCGTGAAGGAGCTCGTCGCGACATATCGCCGCTCTCGCGAAATCTCGCGACGATCTCGAAGCAGAGTCGTAATACGTAATACAGCTACTACTCGCTAAACGCTACGAAGTAAACGCGATGCGAGCGAGATCGCGTGCGCGCGAGGTCCTCTCTGAGACTCGGACAAGCACGATCTCCGATTGACTCCTCGAATCTGTGCGGATCTGCGAGGACGCGATTCCTCGGGCAAACGAACGAGGGTGAAAAAGGAGAACGTCAAGTGCATAAATGTCGGTGTGAACAATATCGCTGCAAGAGTTCAAAATTTCAAACGGCGAAACAGATCCAAGCTCTCTGTTTGTCAAGAGATCGATTAAAGTCGCCAAAAAGAAGAAAGTGAAAAGAAAATCGGAAATTTTCAAGTAAGAGATTATTCGAGCAATGTCGAGTTCTCCCTTGCGAAAATGTTTTTCGCAAGGGAGCAAATCGAAAAAGAGCAATTTCGAAAAACAAATCAGCTAAATCTTGCAATTTATTGACGTGACATGTGCATTGCTGGTTTCATCAGTAAGTCAGTTTATCCAGGTGGAGAGTTGAAGGCAAATTGAACACCGAGGCTCAAGATCTTGGCGTGTCGTTCCTCACACATCAACCGACGCATAAAGAGGGTGAGATTTCAATAACTTCAATTTCTGAAGTCTTTTCTGACCGCGCGCCGAGCGCGAACGATGGTCGATCGTCCCGTCGAGCTGCTCGGAATTCCGCGCGGTACCGCGCGAGAAAAGCAACGAAACAATTTAACTGGCTTGAGTTGACGGACGCGGCTCGGGGGTGGGGGGCGGCAGGGAGGGCTGATGCGAGAGGGGTCGCGTCCGGATTAATCGCGGGGATCATTTGGCGTGATAAACGAGAGAGAGAGAGAGAGAGAGAGAGAGAGAGAGAGAGAGAGAGAGAGAGAGAGAGAGAGAGAGGAACTCGGGCGCGCGTCTCTCGCGCTATATTTAGTCAAGACGCCGGACGGGGGTGAAACGAGCACGTCACTCTCACCCTCGTGCCTTTCTCTTCTCAAACAAACGGCCCGCGGGGAATCTGCGCGCGCATTTCAGGCAGCGAAATAGCGAAAATCGGCCGGCTCGCGCCCGCGTCCAGCGTCAGCTATTGATTAATGGACAGCAGCTATCACGGCATCTACGACGCCGGCGATGTCGGCTGGCGTCGATCCCCCGAGGAGGATCGCCGGCGACCCGACGACGAGGGCGTTCCTCGCCGTCGTCGTCGGCTCGTCTGACGATCGCGCTCGCGGCGGATGATCATCTACGGTGTCACTAGGCTGCACACACACACACACACACACACACCACACACCACCACACACACACACACACACACACACACACACACACACACACACACGCACGCACGCACGCACGCACACACTCACGCACATACTCACGCGCATTTACACACAGGCGCACACACACACACACACACACACGCACATGAATCGACGATACTGTCGATGATGGGGCGTGAAGGGAGGTGAACGAAAGTCCTTCGTTCCTTTCGCTCTTCCGACCGACACGGGATGGATGATGATGATGAGTTTGGTGCGATGAAATCGAGATCTGGGATTGTGCAGGACGGTCTTCCTCTACGGGACCACATCGAGGTCTCTCGTGCCCGGAGACCGTCCGTAGTATATACTTTCGTCTAGTTTCTTTTTTTCTTCTTATTTTTTTTTCTTATCACTTTTCTTATTCTTTTTCTTTTTCTTTTTTGCAACGTGAAAGATGCGTGAGATGATGATTGCGAGAGACAGTCGATCAACGATTCACGCCATTAGATAGATAGAGAAAGTTGGAGATAGAGAAGACAGAAAGACAGAGAAATATACAGAGTAGACAAGTACAGCGGCTACGGTATAATACATCGAAACACTCCGTTACGTAATAACGTAGGTAATCACGTAGATGGAAACGGAGGAGGAAGGGTTGGTGGTTGGTGGTGATGGTGGTGGTGGTGGTGGTGGTGGTGGTGGTGGTGGTGATGATGGCTCGGAAGAGCTTCTTGGGCGGGTGAAGAATTTCCTTACCTCCTCAGAAAGCTAGAATATTGGGGCACCACGTTTAATAAAGCTTCACCACGAAGGCCGCCCAACTCCGGCGTCCCTCTTCCGAGCGTTAACGTCCGACCTTTGTTTGCACGCACACATATACGTGTGTACGTCGTTACGCGTCCTCTTATACGACGTTTCTTGGACGTCCCTGAATTCCCGAGCTTAATCGTAACGACAGATTCCTCGTGCGGATTCGAAGTCGAAGTCGAGTTTAGTTCGCCGATTAAAACATCCGAAGGAGTCTCGTGAAGGAGTCGCGAGATTTTTGCTCGCGTAATTGCAGCTCGCGATATCCTGAGAGAATTCAGGCCCCGAAACTGCCGCGAATGCTGACGTCACCACCTCGGCTCGGGGAGATTCCGGGACACGTGGTGCGGTTTCTCGCGCCGATTATACGCGTTTGCGCGGTCAGATTTCTCGATTCTTTCAAGCGGATCGAGACGCAGACTTCCGGTAAGGTCCTTCGTCCTTGGTACACCCGTTATAGGGCAGGACTGACGCGATGAAACTCGAGCCCGAGCGCCGGAAGAGTTCCGCGGAATTGGGGACTGCCATCCATTGCTGACTTATCGCTAACTTAGCTCTACCTTAAGTGCTAGTTATACCTTAAGTTCTATCGGACAAAAGGTAGCATTTGCCTCGTCCACGAGTCGTGCTGTTGAACTTGCGCCTCTCCGCGGCCAGCAGGACGAGATCGTCGCGCCGTCAAGACAGCGTCGTCCGGGCGCTGTCAACTTTGCTCGATCTCGATCTCCGCTCGATGATCGCGCGCGAATGACCAAAGTATCAGCGAGTTTTCCAATTGCTGACGCAAGCGAACGGAGATGAGTAAAGTAAACCGACAACAATTCCAACAATTGACCTCAACTTTAGGCCGCCCGTTCTCGTGCTTCTCTTCCGCGGAGTGAGGTGACGTTTCGCTTCCAAGCCCGAGTGAGAAACGCTGAGAACGCGAGTTCCGCGTGAGTTCCAAGGTGTCCAAGGAAGATCGCGGAGACGGCGGAGACGGCGGAAAGCTGCGCTTTTCTGACGCAGCTCTCCGCTGGCAGGAGAGCCGCGGCCTGACTCGTGGACTCGAGGCGAATGGTCCTCTCCGTCTCTCGCGGACGGGCCGAATTAGCGGGCTCTCGGCCGGCAGGTATCCGACGACGTTCGAGCTTCGTGGACGATGCTCTCGTGTCGGCCTGACACGTCCACGAGTGTCTTATTTTTGTCGATTGTCACACGGGGACAGTATATAGCTACATGACAGATGCACTCTCTGCGCGCGCGTGCAGCATGCAGAGGACGCCTCGAGAGCGGAGGCGGCGGGGTCAGGCCGGGGGCTGGCAAATCGGCATGCGTCTTCTCTAATCTTACGACACCGAGGGATCTCTACGGGGTTTCTCAGAATGAAGGTACAGAAAGAAATCGGAAGGGGGACAACGAGGGGGAGAAAGAGAAAGAGACAGACAGAGAGAAAGACAGAAAGAGAAAGAGAGAGAGAGAGAGAGAGAGAGAGAGAGAGAGAGAGAGAGAGAAAGAGAGAGAGAGAGAGAGAGAGAGAGAGAGAGAGAGAGAGAGAGAGAGAGAGAGAGAGAGAGAGAGAGAGAGAGAGAGAGAGTTATACGAACGATGACGGGGTGGAGACAAGTATACTTGCCGATGATGAATGCGAGCGAACGCGATGAAACGCGACGGTCGCGCGGAGCGGCCACCGTTGATCCCCGCGCAATCGACGACGATGTGCGAAACGACCGGACCACTCGATCGACAAGCGTCACCCAAGCGAGCGAACGGAATAAGAGACGGCGACGAACGACGGCGCGATCGCGCCGGCGAGGAATTTTCGCCGGGACAATCGTGTCTCAGCGAAGGCGACGCGATCGGATGAACGAGCTCGCGACGATGGCCCAGCGCGAGCTGGTCCTCTCGTGACCGGTCGAGCGAAAGTCGACCGACGATTCCGCGGATGAATAATTCCGCGGAACTTGTGGAACATAAAATAAGACAAGTCGCGGGATCGAGTAAACCGGCGGAGCGAGGGAGAGAACATGGGAGGATTATGGAAATTCGAGTAAATTGGAGCCGGGAAAAATTGGTAGGGAGAAGCAGCTCGAGAAAGCAGCTCCGGTCGCCGAGAGGACGAGAATCGCGCGAGGTCGATCCCGACGAGCGGTCGGTCGGATGTCGGTCGGTTCGATGATGTGAAGATGACGACGATGACAACGTGAACTGATAGATGAGTGGCTGCCGATGACGATGAGGAGACACTATAGAGCCACGTAAACTCCTAACGACCGCATGCAACATGCCAGATACCTAAGTTCCCATGCGAAGTTGCACGATCACCACGAAGAAGAGGATGGCGAATGATGAAACGTCGTGAGAGAGCTGAGCGATCTACTCGAGCGATCTATCGGTCACCACGTGAGATGAATCGCGCGCGTACATACAGTCAACTGACTTCATGACTTGCGATGAGAGCGAAGAGAGATATGCGCTGACTCGCGATGATCGGCGAGAGGAGATGACATCGCGCGCCGTGGCGGCGGCGGCGGCGACTCGAGAACGGGAGGGAAGTCGGAGCGCTAAGCCGCTCCGTCTAGAGATGAAGACGGTGAGAGACAGGACGGACGACACGAGAAGCTGATGAAAGCACCGGCTCGGATCGGATGCTGTCGCATCGGATGCCGGTGTGACTTCAGTTCGGCCATTGTGACGTACTGTCGCGCCAAGAGATGACGAGATGAGGCTTGAGGCGTGAGGGCGATGGTGTGGTGTGGGTCGCGATGAGCTTAATTAATTTCTGACCTGATTGTTTTCGTGTCGCATGGCAAGTATCGATGCATGTGAGTCGATGTGCGAAGAGAGAGTCGGTGCGTTCTTCTCGTGGACGGTGCGGGAGATCGGCGGGCGTGAAGAGGAGAGAAACACGGGGCGGAGAGAGGGGGGGGGAGACGAGGAACGTGAATAGAATTCGTGAATGATGTGAACTCTGTGGGGGAGAGAGCACGTGAGAATGTCATTTCCTTCCTTTCTCTCCTCTTCTTTTCGTTTCTCCTTCTCCGCGATCGGTCATGATTGTCGTGATGATGTATGATGTTTTAGCATATAAGTATATATATATATATATAATATTCATACCCCCGTTGTTGTCGTCTCGTCCCGATTGGCTGGTAAAATTTCAAACAAAGCCGAACGCTCTCTCGGTAACTCGTTTCGCAGAGGTGATTCGATCGACTGGCTGATGTCGTTGGGAAAACAAAGAAACGAAAGAAAGAAAAAAGGAAGAACCAAGGAGAAGGAAAACAATACCGTGACAAGAGATATAGAATTCTCGGCAAAAGTGCTTTACCAATGTGCGACTCGCATGTTGAGATTTTTGCGTTTGGTATGTACTATACAGTCGTCTCATCCGCGAGTAGTCGACCTGCGCAAACAAATGTACATCCACCATTTTACTGTCGTGCGAATCTGCTCCAATCTCCTTTGCCCGACGAAAAACGCAAAAGAAAGAAAGTGCCTCTCGACAAGCGCAAAAGCGTTCTCGCTACAATTTCCGCTGGCTAAACTGCGTAATTCTGTGGAAACAACTGTGCGTATGTATATGTATGGAGATGACACCGCGCGCGCTTGCGCGTGTCCGCGCGATCGAAAAAAAAAGAAGAAAAAAGACTGCTCAAAATCTCTCAAAAGAGAGAAAAGAAAAACATTACGTTCTCTACGTACTGATGTATCTATGGAGCGCTCTCAACTGCAGTATATAAAACAATCGCAAAAATAAGTAACACACATATCTCTCACTCTCTGCGAAAGTGACGCTTCCAGGCTTGAAGGGAAAAAAGAAAAGGGAGAAAAGAAATTATATCGCCATTGTGCGGAGGGAGTCGAGCGCGCACAATACCGATTGCACAGGCTGCTCACATCGCGTCAACATCGCAAAACCAAGGACTCTCCTTGCAGAGGACAGAGATCGGGGTTCGGCGCGAAACGAGAGCTGCGGTGGATGGCGTCGGTCGCGTTAGGCGTGACCGCAAGGGAAGTAAGAAAAAAAAAAGAAAGAGAAAGGAACAACAAAAGTCAAGGAATATCAGTGTTCTCTCTTCTCCTTTACGCGAGATCCGCCCCTCGGGATCTCGCGATCGCGCTGGCACTCCTCGTAGCATCCGTCGTCAGATATACATCCTGAGCCTGCCGAGGACTTCGAGGGGGGATGATCGAACTCTCGGCTCGTATCGCGGAGAACGGAAACAAGAGGTTGGCCACGCGCGGGAAAACAAACTCTCTTCTTTCCGTGCTTTTTTTTTCTTTTTTTCTTTTTCTTCATCATCATCATCATCATGTTATTATTATTATCATTATCATTAGCATTAGCATTAGCATTAGCATTATCATTATCATTATCATTATCACCATCGTCATCATAGTTATATATATATATATATATGTATGTATGTAACAGTTTCATTTCACTATCATATAGTGCCGGTTTCTCGCGGTAGAGCGTGTCTCGTTTTTCGCCTACGGCGCGGAGGCGCGCACAGAAGTCCGAAGAGGATCATTCTTGAATAACAATAAAGCTCTAGAGACGAGGCTGACCTTGCGACCTCCCGTCCCAGCGGGACGGCGCTCGCCGTTTTCGCGCACGGCGAGATCGCGATGAACGTCCGGAGAGGGAGGAAAACACGTCGAGGCGAGGGCGTGGGGGGGAGGAGGGGGATGGTCGTCTCGCCGGATGTCCCGGTGTCTTGGCGCTTTCCACCCTGGAGATCTCGGCGGGAGGGGGGTTGTTGCGGGGGGATCAAGGGGTGGAAACAGACGGCGGGGTATACCCAGCTCGACCATGCATCCTCGCGATCGCGATTTCGCGCGACTTCCGCGATTCGCCCGGAAACTCGGAACTCGAGCGTTCCAGCAGCTCCAGGCTGTCCAGCCGGACCGTGAGGGAGGATCCTGCGCGATCCGCTTCCAACGGATCGGTACACGTTCGTTTTGTTTTTTCGTTCGTTCACTCGCGCGTCGATTATTATCACAATTCGTATATGTACGTACGTACGTTAACTCGATGCGACGGCTTACCATCTAGAAAAAGTGAGTATATATATATATATATATATATTCGTGTATATATATATATATATACACACACACATGTACACACACGCACATACACATATAGTAGAAAAATAAGAATTGTCACAACCTCGTGGAACGTGCCGACGGCGGCGGTGTCGGCAGTCCGCGTGCGAAGGCGGATATATCATCGAGCACATTTGAGCGTGATATGTTCGGAACACAAATGAGTCTCTCGCGAGAGAGAGAGAGTACCACCACATCCATCTATCCTAGAAACATGACTCCGTTGCACTTATCTACGGTTAAGCCGGGTATAGCCCCGTGAGCTATCCGGACGTGTCGGCTGGGACGGCCAGGAGAGGTGCTGTGTACACGGCACGACGGGGGTAGGGGGTAAGGCGGGGTGCGGCGGGTCGAAATCGCTGTGTGAGCTACGAAAATATATATGCACCGGCGCGGCGGAAGTTTCGAGAGAGTGTTTCTACGGCGTCTTCTTTTTCTCGTTTTTTTTTTCTCTCCCTTACCTACACACGCATCGTACACGCACACGCATCTCTTCGCATATTATATACTGCGGTGAGTGGGGTATATACTATGTAAATATATATGTATATATTATACGTGTGTATTTTTCTTGTTTTTTCCTTTTCGACCTGCTTTTCTCTCGTAGACTCGTATGCGTATATACGTATATAAGTATATGTATCTTTATACGCACGATATATATATATATATATATATATATATATATACTAGGTGCGCAACTAAGTTTCCGGGTTTCACATATGGATGGCGCTAACGACACATGTAGTCGACATACATGTCTGAAGTCGTGTTTTTTTTATAGCTTGGACATCTGTTAACAATAACCAGTCGTAATACCAACACATATCGCAACGCAAAAATCTTTTTTCTAACAACGAAGATGTCGAGTTTTGTGCCAAATAAACAGCATTTGCGGGGAAGCTTTCCTTTTCTGCTTTAACTTGGAAAAAGGTGCAGCTGAAGCACGTCGTTTGCTTGAGGAGGCCTACGGCGAACATGCGCCATCGAAAACTACCTGTGAAGATTGGTTTAAACGCTTCAGAAGTGGCGATTTCGACACTGAGGACAAGGAGCGCTTCGGAAGACCAAAAACAATTGAGGACGCCGATCTGCAAGCGTTATTGGGTGAAGATGATACGCAAACACAAGATCAACTTACGGAGGCATTAAACATGACTCGCCAAGGTATTTCCAAACGTTTACATGCCATGGGAAAAATTCAAAAGGAAGGAAAATGGGTGCCGCATGAGTTGACTGAGCGGCAGATGGAAAATCGAAGAGCCACTTCCGAAATTTTGCTTTTGCGGCATGAAAAAAAGAGTTTCCTGCATCGAATTGTTACTGGCGATGAGAAGTGGATATATTTCGAGAATCCCAAACGCAAAAAATCGTAGCTTTCACCTGGCGAAGCATCAACATCGACGGCACGACCAAATCGCTTCGGAAAGAAGACAATGCTCTGCGTTTGGTGGGGCCAGAAAAGAATTCTGTACTATGAGCTGCTGAAAAGAAGCCGGGCGAAACTGTCAATGGGCATCGCTACCGACAACAACTGATCAATTTGAACCATGCATTGCTCGAAAAACGGCCAGAATGGGACACGAGACACGAACGAGTGATATCGCAGCACGACAACGCTCCGTGCCATCGCACTTCCATCGTCCAGGACACCATCAAAACGCTGAAATGGGATCTGCTACCGCACCTGCCGTATTCGCCAGACCTGACCCCTTCCGATTATCACTTGTTCCGGTCGATGGCGCATGGCTTGGCTGGGCAACACTTGGCCAATTTCGAAGAAGTGCAAAATTGGTTGGATGAATGGTTTCGGTCCAAAGACGCGTCGTTTTATCGTCGCGGTATTCATGTATTGCCAGAGAGATGGCAAAAATGTGTAGCTAGCGAGGGACGATACTTTGAATAAACCGTTTTTTTTATTTCTCTTGAAATTTTCCATTTTTCATTGATCAAAAAAACCCGGAAACCTAGTTGCGCACCTAGTATATATATATATATATACATATATCACATATATATATATGTATATATCAGCGTCGTGTATTGGCGAATCATAATAATCCTGCCTGGCGATCCCTCCCTCTCGTTAGCGTCTGATCGTCCTCGATCTCTCTCTCGCCGCAAGACAACATCGATATTTCGTATAATAGACACTTCTCAAGGATTTTCAACATTCGTCCTCGTAATCTCGCGCGCGAGTCTAAGGCCTAAGGATTAAGACCACGCATGTGGTCTTTACGCTCGCGGGCTCTAACCGCCTTTATATAACGTAGAATCTACCGAAATATGTGTGTGACTTTCTCGTTGACTTTCTCTCACCGCGAGACATCACGCGGAACTGTCGCGTCCTCTCTGAGTCTGCCTCCTGTCTTTCGCGCCTCTTCGCGACGACGCTTCGCCGCACAGCACGAACATCCGTCCGCATGAGCGGCCGATGTCACCTGGGCATTCGGCCGTTCACGAGCCGAGTTCCAAGCGGCTCGGATATTCCGCGCGAACGCGCGTCTTATCCTGCGAACGCTCCTCGATGCTCCTGGATGTCCACGTCCGCGTGTCCTGACGCCTGAATTTCCGAACGCGTCATTTACGCGGAAATTTTATCGTAGACGAATCGTTCGTCGTTCAGTTTCTTCGAATGCGCCCCGAACGTCGCCGATGTCTCCGTGTCCAAGACATCCTCGAGTCGAAAATCCCGGGCGGTCCCGAAAGTCTTCGTAGGCGCGGAAATTGTTACAGACAAATCGTCTGCTTGTCGATAAGAATTTCCTAGAGATCGCAAACATTCGGATCGGACGTTCGTGCGGTATCGGCGGTCCTGTTCCACTTGATGCGCGAATCGCATCGCAGGAGCGATCGCCTTCCTCTCGCCTCCCTCGGGAGGACCATTATCGGAAGTTGGCGGAAGATCAGAGATCGTCCGAAGGCTTATCGCGTGCACAAAGGGACGTGTGAACGCCCCGTGCGTATCTGCAGGGGATGCGATTCCACCCGAGGTGGACGATCGCGTGCTCGCCAGCGAGAGCGGGCTGGTTCGTTGCGGGGGAGAGAAGGTGAGAACTTGGGGAGGGGGGGCGGCGCAAACCCGTGCATCCTTTCGCGGAATTGCGGCCGTTTCTTCGGTAGCGCGAAACCGTTGGAACTTTCAGCGAGTTTCCGACGCTTAGGAGTTGCCGCGACTCTCGGAATTACGATACCGAGCCGTAAAGGCGAGCTCGTGAGTTTTCTCGCGGCGTCTCGAAAGTTCTCGAAAGAAAGCACAGCTCGATCGGCTCGACTGCGACACTCGCGACCCGAGGAACTCGTACGGACGTGGCGCGCTTATGAACGCTGGCACTTGAGAGCCGACTCTCGCGACGGCGCATAACTTCGCTATTAAATAATATATACATATATATATATATATATATATTATCAAAATTATCGTGACACATATCGTATTAATTACAAGACCGGAACAACACCGTTTCCTCCCCGCGGGGAACCGCGTTTCGCCCGCGAGCGCGCGACGCCCCGCATTCTCGCACACCGCGAGCGTCCACGACGTCCTGGACTCAACCCTGTAAATCTACGACATCTAAGTACAATCGAGTCAAAAAATAGAGAACTCTGCGTCTCGGGATACTGCCGACGAGAAAAGGATATCGAGTAGACGATAAAGGAAAAAACAGGTACGCTAAAGACGTTCGTCGCACGCGTCCGAGCGGCGAGAGCTGGTGAGAAGTAAAACGACGTTCCTCCTCCCTGGCGCATCGGGCGAGAGGGAGGGGCTGGTCGACAGAGACTAATTACGGAGACCACATGATTTACAACGATATTTACGTTACTATCTATATCGTACGCGCTATTCTAAAGGGCTCCTCTAGGCAGGTATAGGAAGACGAGGGGCTGGCTCAGCGACGGGAGATAACGTGAGGGGTCGTGGGGATGAAGTGCGCCCTCGGTAACGTAGGCCAATCGCACGCGACGAAACATTCTCGCTCGCCTAGATAACAAGTTGCTCGGGTCACGCTCACGAGCGAGCGAGCGAGCGAGCGAGCGAGCGGAACGCAATTTGCGAAGTTCGAGCCCGTAGCCGGAAAGTTCGTTCGAATTAGCAGCGTCTTTCGCGCTCGCGCTCCTACAACGGCGACGTATCGGGTCGTGGGTGCGCGACACATTACTTTGTTCTGGGAGGGGGGAGGCGGGGGGCAGTATATTCGTGCGACAGAATCTACCTAAACGATCTAGTTACGGCTAAAGATCTTATTTACGGCTAAACGCTCGTCAGCGTTTCATGTTCCGCTTATTTGTTCGAGCGTTCTACGCGATAGCGTAGCTTTCTCTCTTTCTCTCTCTCTCTTTCTCTCTCTCTCTTTTACTCTTCCTCTTTTTCTGCCATCGAATCTCACGGCGACTCGCGCGAACGCGACGTTCACAAGGAAGACGGGGTACAAGTATCTAATATCGACTATATTCGCCGAAGACTCTTCCCTTCGAAAATAATTTCGCTCGGCGACGAGTTAGCAACAGAGCTCCGCTACGTAAAATCGATTTCGACGAATTTGCGTGCACGATTTTTTTCTCTTTTTTCTCTCTCCTTTCACGGGCGCTTTCTCCCTCTCACGCGTACGTGGATCGTCACGTGAGTGGTCAATTTCATGTTTCGGATATGTAAATGCGTACAAAAGGAAGATATGTCAGTCCACATGAAGATCGAATGGTCCGCGCGGTTCACCGAGAATCTAATTATATCCCGTTCCTTTATTCGATAATGACACATCGCAATCGTCTAAACTAAAGTATCGACGCGACACGTGAGAACAGTGGGAAGAGGGCGGGGATAAAATGGGAACTCGGATTCTTCTTCGTTTGTTGTCCGATCGCAGAAGGCTTGACGAAACGCACTTCTGATGTGTATCATAGAATAGAGGGACGTCATGGCGCGGGCCTCGAAATCGATCATTGTCGTCGACCGCTGTCGTTTTAGTTCTCACCGACTCGTACGTGCGTCATACGCAACGTTCACAAGAGAAGACGAGGGGAATTGAAGGCTCTTCGCGCGGAAGTCACCATCGGCGACCATCCTCATCGGCACTTTGGTTTCCTTTCCCCACAACTGACATCGTCCTACGTACTATGTACGCCTTTTTTCGGCGATCCCTTACGCTTCTTCATGGCGATCCAGCCTCTTCCCCGAAGACGTTCTTTTTTCTCTCTCTCTCTCTCTCTCTCTCTCTCTCTCTCTCTCTCCATCTTTTTCTTTCTTTCTCTCTCTCTCTCTTTCACTTTTTCTTTCGCTTTATTTTTCACTGGCCATTATCGATGAAAATGACAACAGATCTCTCTCTCTCTCTCTCTCTCTCTTTTTCGAATCGACCCGATTCTCCGACCACGATGGCTCTCTTTTGAAACTAGCCGACGAAGAATACGACGACGACGACGACGACGACGACGACGACGATGACCATGACGACGACGACGACGACGACGACGACGACGACGACGATGACAACAACGAAGTCAAAGTCGAAGACGAAGACAACGAAGACGAAGACGACGATGACGACGATGACGACGACGACGACGACGACGACGATGACGATGACGACGACGACGACGATAACGACGACGAAGACGACGATGACGAAGACGAAGACGACGACGAAGACGCGATCGTGATCCTCGTGTACCTGATCGGAGAAACTCCCGCCCTCCCACGCAGTCCCAGGTGTCCCCTAGACGGCGTCGTTCTTTTCGATGCGCACGTTGTTGATGAAGAAACTTACTTGCCGTTTGAAGTTCAGGTCGTGCTTGTTGAAGGTGTGAGCGTGCAGCGCCAGGGCGCCCGCCGCCGCCGGCTCTATTTGTTTCAAGTGTTGCTGTATTTGCTGCTGATGCTGCTGCAGCTGCAGCTGATGCTGCTGCTGCTGCTGCTGCTGGTGCAGGTGGTGGTGATGGTGGTGCTGGTGATGGTGGAGCTGATGGGGATGATGATCGGTAGCGTAGCGATCGGTATAGGGGTTGACCACGCCTGTGGTGGCGCCCGACGAGATGCCGGCTAGGCACGAGGAACCGCCACCGACAACGCCACCCAGCCCGACGCCCGTGGTCGCACCTGTCGAACCGGCAAGCAACGAACTGGTTAGTGCCGCGGACGACGTGTGGCCACTGTACGGTACCAGCGAGGTCATCATGGACGGTCCCCTGGCCAGGGCCAACGTGCCGGGCTGTTGCTGACCACCCAGGCCGGTCGGCGGCGTATACGCCGGCCGCAAGTGCGGCTCAATACCCAGTTGTTGTTGCAACGGTTGTGGTTGTTGATGATGCTGTTGTTGTTGCTGCTGCTGCTGCTGCTGCTGCTGCGCGCTGCTCGGCACAGCGATGGCCATGAGCAATTGCTCGCGCAGCCTACCGCCGCACTCCTTAATGCGCTGCAGCTCGGCCTCAAGCAGCCCCACTTCCTTCTCCAGGGTCTGTATGCGCGCGTCTTTCGTCTCCATGATGGCGGTCAGGGTGGTGCTACCGGGCACGCCGCCTGGAACCGCCACGCTACCTCCGAGGACGGTACCGCCTGCATCTGCACCCGATACGCTACCTCCTAGCCCGATGACGCCGACTGCACCTGCCAATCCGCTGCCGAACCCGCCCGCCACCGGCTGTCCCGAGGACGCGGTCGAGGCGTACGCGAGTTCCAACTGCGTCTGCAGGCTCTTCAGGCTCTCGTTCGTCGCTTTGAGCTCCTTTACAACAGAGGCAACAAGGGGGAAAGACGATTACAGGTCGTTGACTCTCTCGCGCCGCCGTCCTCTCTCTCGTGTCTCTCTAGCGCGCTCTCTCGCGGTCTATATATGTATACTTTTTTTTACTTGTCTGTTTTTATGTATATCGGTTGACTTTTTTTTTTTTTTTTTTTGGATGATGTAGCTGAGAATGTTGTCTGATCTCTCTGATATATATGTATGTAATACATATATATATATATATTTTTTTTTATCTTGAAGGTGTGAAGTATGCGATGGTGCGGTTTAGAGATGTATACTACATGGTGGTGGTTGAGTGCGGCTTCGCTAACGCATGAGACTGCCCGTGTGCGCTTGTCGTCACTTTTGCGGTTCTCTGCGGATCTTTTTGCGGTTCACATTGAGACCGTGTCGTCGCGCTGACCGCGATGCCATCCATTGCTGTCGTGATATAGCGGAAGATTCGTGCGTAATAAAACAGGCGAGATCGCCGGAAAATCTGTGTCACGCGACAGTGACGTTGACAAAAACGCCAACTTGCACGCCAGTATTATTTCTTTTTTTTTTCTTTTTTTTTTCTTTCGTTCTAACGACAAATCGCGAATCGTGCGTTTAGGACGAGAAGCGACGCGGAGCGATGCGGAGATAAAAAGTCACGCAGGCTGCTTGTCGCGTTTCGCGAACACCGAGGCACCGCGAATTGCTCCTCTTCGATTATTCTTCCTCCTCCGCGCGAGTAAATTTACGACAAGAGATAGCGCGCGTTTCCCCGTTCTTCCTCGTTACGCGTCCCGGCAGCGGATGGCAAACGCGACCGCGCGCGATCCTGATCCTTCAATCTCCGTTCACGGGACAGTCTCGAGGAAGCGGAAGTGGCACCGGCAGCGTCCCGGTTGACGAAAGAAAAGCGACGTACCGCCGAGCTTCCTTCTTCCACAAAATGATCTTCTTCGTTCTCCTCTCCTCGACATTGCGATAACACAAAGGTGCTCTCTTGTCACTGCAGAGAAAAAAAAACGAATATGCGATCGAAAAGGTCAATCGGTTCTCGTCAACGAAACGGCGAGAATCTCTGCCATCCGCGCGCGACGACGCGTCGACATTCGTCTCTCGCGTTTTCTCTTCCCTTTCGCTCTCTCCCTCTCTCCTTTCGGGATCAGATCTCCGTCCGACCTTCCGATATTGGTCTTCTCTCTCATCTCTATTCCGAGATACGATTAACCGCCACACCGATCGCCGGCGATCTCTTTTCTCTCTCTCTCTCTCTCTCTCTCTCTCTCTCTCTCTCTCTCTCTCCCTCTCTCTCTCCCTCTCTCTCTCCCTCTCCGCGACGCCGACGTTAAAGTCTCTTTTTCTCTATCTCTGTCGGTCGATCTCACGATCGCAAGGTCACGCTCTAACAATCCATACCGACTTGACAATGCACTTGCTCGATTTTGTTTTTCGTAATTTTGTCGTTGTGTCCGATATTTTACTATTTTTTTTTTTTTAATATTCTACTTTACGTTTCTTTCCACGGTGATCCTCTTCCGGACGCCGGGCGCCGCCGCAGTTCTTTCGCCCACCGCGACGTACGGCCGACATCATTGTCCATTGTTCTGCGCGCGGCGTTTCGACGATTTCTCTCGTTCTCTTTCTCTCTCTCTTTCTCTCTCTCTCTCTTTCTCTGTCTATTTCTCTCTCATCGCGCTGCAATCGCTCGTTGTTTCTCGTTAACGCGTTTTCCTTCGACATTCATTTTTTCGTTCGATTTTCTTTTATTTTTATTTTTTTTAGTTGTTACTTTTTTGCACCGGAGAACCCGTCGTGTTCTCCGTCGCGACTGGTCCAGAAAATTTGTCCGCGCGAGGATCCGTCGTCGGGATCGACAGAGCAGCGCGACATACGCGATTTCGTCATTGATCGCCCTCGAAACGCGGCCACGTCGCATGGACAAGATCTCGTTTGGATGCACGTGCGGATGCGTATCGGCGTTCCGCAATCGTCAGTGAAAGAGGATTTGAGTTTTATCGGCTCAACGGGGGAAAATAACCGTCGATCGGTATGTCTGCTATTTATCGCACGCGCGCGTTACGCGGATACGCATCTTGATGAGTTCGTGTGTGACAAATCGTGGGAGCGCGAGCAGACCGATATGCCGTCGCGTCGATGCATCTATGCGAATAAATCGCCGCAGACTGCGCTATGCAACGGAGGAGAAGCGGTCTCTCTCGCGATTGAACGGCTCCCTTCGTGTGCTTTTTCGATGTTTGTAATGTAATAAAAATGACCTATAGGATAATATAAAAAAAAAAATGGGAGAAAATTATACAACAAATACTTCTGAGATATAATATAAAGTATTGAAGTAATAGTACTAAAGTATTAAAGCGTGCCATAATGAAAAGATTACAACAACGAAAATGCGACTGAAAGAGCGAGAGAGAAATATTATCAAAAGATTAAAAGATTATATCCTTAAAAATATATGATAAAAAAACGAGACGGGAAAGATGGAGCGTGGGTAAAATACTTATACGACAGTGAAATTGCTGATGATTATTCAGCTCGCCTCGATTGAAATATATCGTCCAACTTGTTAAGCGACTAGACCACGCGCGAGTGACGAGCTCGTCGGCCTGCCGGTGCTCCCATCGGCGAGATACAAATGGTGTTATGGTAGAGAGGATAAGACAGTAAGATTACGCGAGGAGAACGACGTCGTGTTATCGCGTCTCGCATCAGGTCGGTGCCAAACAGTCGCAAAGTCCTCCCTTGGGCCTGGGATCGGCTCGTCTTGACTCGACTTGACGACTTTCGGACCGTCCCGCTGCTCGTGCATCGATAACGACGGTTGGCGATGATAGCGGTAAGTCGTGATGGGCAAGAACGTGTCTGAGGCGTACAAGAACGAGAAGAGAGAGTATATATATAAAATTGGGCGTTACATTCAGTGAATCACAGCCGAGATAATGGCAGAACAAATATAAAGTGTATAAAGTATACAGATCGAGTCTGGTCTATGTGCATGTGCGTGTGTGTGTGTGTGTGTGTGTGTGTGTGTCTGCGCGTCTGTTTACGTGTGTGAGTGTCAGGTGTGTCTAGACGAGCGTGTGAATGCTTGTACATACATACATACACGGAGGCTGCGCTCGTCGTGTGTGTACGTATGTATAGCGAGAAATACAGTGCATATATATATACATATAAAGAGTCGGAACATTCCATATGTATAAGATATACACGTGGAGAGGTCTGGTTGTGTGTACGGTATATTTATATATATATATGTATAGCGAGACATGTTGTGTGTGTGGCTTATATATTGTATACACAGGGAGATAATATAAATATATATAAATATATATATATATATATATGTTTATATATATTTATTTATGTATAATATCGAGAGGAAAGAGAAGTATAAGTGTGTATAATATATAGATATGAAAGTGAATTCTCTTACAGGACGAGCCGAAAGTCTCGCACAGCCCGACGTCGATTCTTTCGTGGCGTATCCGCTCCATCCTGATCCCCCGAGATCGTGAAAACGTGGTTTAGGAATTACGGACACGTCGTCCGTCCGAGGCTATTATGCTCTTCGGATGACCATTCTTTCCGCTCTCCCTCGCGTGTGCACACGAGACGTGCTAAATCTTTCTTTCTTACTTTCCTTTATTAACCCTTGCCTCTTTCATCTTTTTTTCTCATTATCGCGATACTTTGCGTATTCCCGAATTTGTAGCGCGCGACATGCCGCGACAGGCAGGACGCGCGTTTCTGAGTTTCGCCGTACGGGGGCGACGGTGAGAAAATTTCTCAGAGTAGGGTAGGACCTGGCCGATCGGTCGCACGAGTAAGTTGGCACATTGCTGATAATTCGTGCAGTACTTCCTTTTCGGTAATCAAAAATGCGAATAAGGTGACTAGTCTTCGCGACTGCTTCACGTGTCACGAATTAATATTGCAAATCTGTTAAATTAAGAATTAATATCGAGAGATGGCAACTTTTATCCAGCCTAAGTTTTCGATGCTGCGTCAACACGTTGATTGTTATGATAATCCAAGGGACATATGTAACCTTTTTCTTTTACCACATTTGTTGACTCAAACTTGAGAATTAAGGATTGAAATAATCAATAGATATCAGATAGAGAGATGGCAGTCAACATGTTAAACTTGACTAATCTTCATTTAGAACCATTTTATGACACGGGCTTGTGAGCGAAAAGTTTACCGTTACTTCGACGACATGATCATCGTCAAATATGTCTGCGGTATCCGTGTTGACGATGCGTCTAACGACAAGACAGTCGACAACAAACACACACCCCCGGATTCCCCATTCAGGATTACATTGATCGCTAATTAATCGCTAATCCTCTCGCCAGGTCTTATCGTTCGCGAATTGGTAATTGGCATTTGTGCAGTCGTGCTTACGACTGCAAAATCCGCCGATATTATTTAATTCGTAATTTAATAATTTACATTAATCCGTATCAATCGTAGGAACCGTGCGCCAACTCGAACAATGCGAGCACGGCCAGATTCGACTTCAACGACCCCTCGGCCACCCTCGACTCGCTCCTGTCGCAGCGTTCGCGCGCACGTTCGACGTATCAGCGTTGACTCGTGTGAATTAGCGTGCGCCGCTGGTCGAGAGCCACCGCGCGACATCGACGGGAATTTTAGGCCGCAGCACGGTGGAGGCGTGCATTAATCTCGGTGCGCGAAGGGCGAGGGGAATTAATCGGATTAATCTCGTTTGTAGACGCTGAGACGCTCCGACGTCTCGTCCATCCAATTCGCGGCGGACTCGCTTCGTTATTTCGCGAGGGGACGCGACCTCGGCATCGCCGGGGATGAGAGAAATCCTCGCGCGAGCACGCGACCGGTCTTGGCGCGATGACGTCCCGCGATCGTAAAAATAGAAGCGCGAATAACGAGCGAGAGGCGGTAAGGTCTGCCTCGTTGTTGACCCGTTTGAATCAGAAGCGGATATATCCGTTTGATTTCGCGTGGATGTTGTCACGGAAACGGAGGATATCCGCTTTCGCGCGCGTCGAGGCGATTTGTGCCAACTTGGGAACGAGAGATGTCAGCGATTCCAAGAATACCTCTCTTCAGGAACTTCTACTTCAAGAATGCTTCTCGTAGTATTTAGACTCGGTGATACGGGCATTTTTCAGTCATTTTTCTCGAATCTAATGATGCAGATGGGTTAACACGTCGACTACCGCAGTGCTCATCAGTGAGCGCGTCTCAATAACGCGGCGTTTAGGGCTTTCGACAGTTTGCACGCGAATCTTGCAATAAAGTCCAACACACAGCACGGTGATATTTAATTTCTCGTGCAATCAAGAAATTTATTTTACTCTTAGCTTTATTCAGACGATTCACTCCCCTGTCCCGGACGCCTCTCAGTGATAAATACTGTTGTGCTTGCCACTGAAGAGAATTTGGAAAAAGAAAACTGAAACGTCTGGGCAGCAGTGAGAATAAAATGAAGTTCTTGACTTGACGAGAAGTCAAACGTCAACGCATTTCGTTTGATTTTATCACGAGATTTCCGCGTACAGATTTTCTCCTGTATTCTTTATACTCGATGTCGTACAGCGCGCGCAGAACCCTTTCTAAATATATTATTTTTCATTTGTTATCTCACTAACATATCACACTAATTTCTACGTAACACTTCATCAGTGTAAGAAATTACAGTTCAAGTGTGAGGAATTAATTACACAACCGTTAGAGAGACAATGAAACGAGTTAACGAACATACGTATCCCGAATTCCCTCTATCCACCGCACGATTCAAACTTGAGTCAAACATGGAAATAAGAAGCGAAAATCAACCTCACGGTCAATATGTTGAACAGACGCGAGGAAGGACGAGAAAGCACTCGTCACCAGGTGGATCTTAAAATCGTGCATACCGAAAGAAAAAGCTTCGCGACGCACGGAGGTGCCTCGACGTAAACGGTGGCTCTCTCAGGCGGACGTACACTGGAAACCAAAACGGTTTCGACAGTTTTTTTCTTCTAGTGACATTGGTAGTTCGTGTAGTTGTAAATTTGGGAATCACTGCTTAATGCATGGAGCAGTCTCAAGATCCTTACGGTTAGAGAGACACACACAGTTGGAGTTAGGGAGTTAGGCGATCTTTTGCGCAAGTCTTTGAGCAGTGATTCTCAAATTTTACAACCAGACTATTTACTACAACGTTTGTAAAAAAAAGAGCTGTCGAAACCATTTTGTTTTCCAGTGTACACGTGCATGCACACGTGCGACGCATCCCGTCAGACGGCTGAAGCGTATTCGAGTACTCGCGAGGATCGCCTGCAAACTGTGGAGGAGATTGCAAAACCGGCGATTTCCTCGCCCGTCGATATGAATCGCGCTCGCTTCTCGGCGACTCAGGCGACTCAGAAAAATGCCGAAAGTTGTGTTCTCTCACAAGAAAGCCCGATGCATCTCATTGTGGCACACAGGGTGTCTTCCGCAGGACACGACAACGCTCGTGCACGCTCGTGGACGCTCGGCGCGTGAACTGAAGGCAAGAGTTCTCTATTCTTTCGCAAGCAACCACGTGGAATGTTGAGTCATCAATTAGGGAAGATTGACAAATGATGGCGCCCGATGCGCTAAACGAGCTGTGCTGGCGACGGCTGATCAATAACTCAAAATAACCTGCTTGTTCGCAAAATGCCAGAAGACTTTCTCGTTCAGTTTGACGTAATCCACGTCGCCATTACAGCTCACCCCTGTCGATCTCCTTCAATTGATAATTCTACGCGGTTGTCTTTGTGAAGCGGCGGGAGGTTTTGCGCTCAACCTGACCTGACGTTCATACGTACCACGAGCGTTGTCGTGTCTCCCGTTGGAGACGCACCCTGTGCAGTTACCGAAAGTAATTTCTCCACACGCCTGAAATGAGAGAAATATTCACGAACGAAGCGACCATATAGTCTCGCGGCGCGTTTATCGCGGCGCGAATCAGCCTCCGATTGTTCGTTCCCTGCAACTGGACCGGCTCCAATTAGCCATTAAGGTGTAATTAACGTGTGCTTCGTGGTAGGGCCCGGTGAGGGTGAAAAGGTCACGTGCGTATCGCCGGTATCCTAATTTCACGGTTCTGCGCGATGGTCGGCGACTTGAAACGTGTTGTGGCTTGTGGTAGTATCAGTAGTAGTAGTAGTAGTAGTAGTAGTAGTAGTAGTAGTAGTAGTAGTAGTAACTGTTGTATCAGTAACGGTAGTCGATGATGGTGATTCGTAGTGACGATGACGGTGATGATGGCTGATCATGTACGGTGCACGGAAAAAAGATCTCAGTTCGTGCAACTGGAACAGGGGGCAGACGGAGGTTCGGTGGCGGGGGATGATGCACGGAGGAAGAGGATCGGTATCCAACTAACGAAGCAATGAACGGAGCGGACGCCTTGTAGGTTTCTCGGAGGGAACTACCGGAGGCAACCGGAAATCTCTGGCTCGAAGCGGATTCGCTCCTGAGAAGCAGGAATTCCAAGAGCCCGAAACACTCCGCGTTCGCTCCGTTCACTCCACCGTGTTGACTCCACCGATCTTCTCTCGCCGTGTCGTCGCGACTGAAATCACCACGTCTGAACACTCAGCTGCATCGAGACTCGGTTGCGACAAATGATCGACCGGCGAGAGGTCTCCTGCAGGAAGCTTCCTGCCGCTACAACCGAGTTCTCATCTGAGTTTTCATCAGCTTCCATCTGGCTCCTGTTCTTCCCCGGCAACGGAAAATTCAATTACACCAACGGAATTGTTTTTTCCATGCGATGGTGGTGGTGGTGGTGGTGGTGGTGGTGATAATTATGCTTGTGGCTAGGGACGGGGATGAGTGACGTGAGGGTGGATACATCTTGCGGGCATGGTATCTCCCCGCGAACGGTGAGATCGGGCAAGGGCCGGGGCGGGGTGTGGGGGACTAGTTGAGGGGGGAATTGGAGGTGCTAAAAACGTCTTATCGCCTACACATCCAAAGCAGCTCATTCCACGCATTCCACCGCAGCTTGTTCTTGTGTCGCTTTCGAACCTCTCTTCCTCTCTCGCGGCTCTTTTTCACCGCGAGCGTGACGTCCGTCGGTCTGTCCGTCGGTCCGTCGGTGTCCCTACGGTTCCCTACGACGTCAGACCGTGTCCGTTCTCCTCGTGGACGTTTCTCGCGATCGGCCCGCGCGATCGATCCAACGATCGCGCTGGCGCTCGACGATTCGTCCGGTGGCTCGCAGATTCGGTGTGACTGCTGTCGCACAATTGGGTGACTCACTCGTCCGCCGAGTCCCACAAGT